ATTATTAAGAAACACGATTATTGTAAAAACTTGAAAGAAATTGGACATATTATAAAATTCAATTACTTTGAAAATTTTTAATTAAAATTATTAAAGAAACTCAATTATATTAAATTCAAAGAAATTCTTCAAAAGAATTTAATTAGGATTATGAAAAATTTTAATAAAATTATTATTCTTTCCGAAAATTCAATTATTTCCATAAATAATAAAATTTTTAGAAGAATTAAATTAAATTATTATCGAATTTTTTGACAAAAATCTTTCCATAAATTCAATGATTTGCAAATTTTTTTATTAATTTTTTCGCAACAATTCAATTATTTTCATAAATAGTAGGATAACATTTTTACAGCGATTTAATAATTTTCGTAATTAATAAAATTTCTTTTTAGGAATTCAATTATTTTCATAAATAATAAAATTTTCACAGAAATTTAATTATTTTTAAACAAACACAATTTTCATAACATTTTTTGAAAAAAATCGATTATTTAAAATGATTTTTATAAAATTCCTTGTATCAATTCAATTATTTTTAAAAATTTTCATAAAATTCTTGTGAAAATTTCAATTATTTTTATAAATAATAAAACTCATTGGCAGAATTTCAATTATTTTTAATACAAAATATTTTAATCAAATTCCTCGAAAAATTTAATTATTCTTAAAAATTTGTTGATAAAATTGCTTTTTAAGAATTCAATTTAAAAAATATTCAATTATTCAATAAGTTATTAATTTTTGTATTTAAATAATTGAATTCTAGTTGAATTTTCGAATAAAAATTGATTAAAAATGAATTTCAGTTAAAATTTTTTTTGATAATAAATGAATATTAATAATATTATATACAGCATAGAATTTTTAGAAATGATTCAATTCTGAAAAGGTTTAAATTAAAATCTTTGAAAATTAAAATTTTAACTAAAAATTCAGTGAAATTAATTTTTTTCAAAAGGTTTAATTGAATTTTTTTTGAAATTTTTTGAAGTTGTTATTTTTTCTATTATAATTATATTTAATTGAAGAATTTTTGAATAATTGAAATTTCGTGAAATTGAATTGTAAACAATTGGATACTTGAAAATTGTCAAAGAACTTTTTCGAAAAATATTAAAAATAATTGATTTAAAGAAGACTTTTGGTTAAAAATACTTGATAAGAATATTTGAATTAAAGTGATGATAATAATTTTGAAGAAATACAATATTCTTATAATATAAAATAATGATTTTAATAAATTTAATAAATTCTTATAAAACATGAAGAAAGCGATTACTCCGAGTCGAGGACTCGGAGTGATCGATATCTTCATATTTTATAGTTATTTTTATTCAACCAATTTTTTATTAGGCCGAAACAAAAAAAATGTAACTTTTATTTAACCAATTTTTTATTAGGCCGAATTAAACGAAATGTAATTTTTACACAAAAGTTTTTTTATTAGGGCATAATATTTTTATGAAGACGAGTCTCAGAAAGTGGAACTTCCATTCAAATAATATTTTATTAATCCGAAACTTACCAAATGGAATTTTTATTCATTCAATTCTTCATTAAGCCAAAATAGACGAAATTCAATTTTTATGCATACAATTTTTTATTTGGCCAAAAAAATATAATGTTTAAACAACCAATTTTTTATTAGGCCGAATTAAACGAAATCAAAATATAAAAACAAAATAAAATAATTTTGACTTAATTTAAATCGAATAAATTGAATTGAATTTTCAATTAATTTAAAAAAATAATTATTAAATTCTTCCTCTACATATTTTTTTATTAAAAAGAAATAATTTTAAAGAAATTAAATTAAATTTATATTTAAGAAATTTTAAAGAAATAATTGAAAAGTGCGGAAAAAATTAGAGAATCGTTACGAGAGAAATTTTATAGTTCAAGTGCAGTAAAGAAAAAAAAGAGGAGAAAAGAAAGGAGGAAAAAAAGAGAACACACTGTGTTCATCATCATGTAATCTTTATATCTTTCATATCAATGTGTATTTAAATTATTTAATAATTATAATTGATCTCGTGTATTCTATAATATTAGAGTGAAAATTAATTTTAATTGCGCTCATATGATTGTAATTATATATATTTACATTTTAGCCTGCTCGCGTCTCTTATAAAGTGAAAAGAAAAAGATGCTCGTGGGGGAGAAAGTTAATATAAAATCGTGTATATATAATATAACAAGCTCGTTAGATTGATTTATCGTTCTTTCCTTATTAGTAAATATAAATATACAAACTTTTATTTTCATTTATCGAGGTTTAATAATTTTTTTTAATTTTTCCTTTAATTAGGTTGTCTTCTTTTTTTTAATTTTACCTTTAATTAGGTTGTCTTCTTTTTTTTCCTTAGAAATATTTTTTCAAAAAAAAAAAATGGTTTCTTTGCTTCAATATGTGAAATATTTGATGCGCCAAGAAGAAGAAAAATGATTCTTTATGAAGCAAATCATTTTTAGGTTATGTTTCTGTTATTTTTACCTTTTTTTAAATTTTTAAATTTTTTAATTAAAAAATTAGAAGTTTCTTTGTTTTTAATTTAAAATCAAACTCAGTTTTTAATAATTTGTTTTGGGTGTAATGAAGACTTAAATAGTATTTTATTATATAGTCGATGGGCTTTTTGTATTTTAATTTTAAAAATAACAAACATAACCTAACATTTTTTTCTTCTTAGATAGCTTTCTTCAGAGGCGTGTCACATCTATTAAGTCACATTTTAACTGCAGCACAGTTTAACTTTTTCGAAAATAGTAAAATTTGTATTATTTCAATTAAATTCGATATAAAATTTAGTTTTTTAAATGTATAATACAATTAGGTATTTATACAAATAGTAAGTAGTTTTATTAGGCAACTTTTTTTTTGCTTTCTTCACTAGAAGTAATTTTTCTATCTTAATAATATAGTTACTACACAATAGGAGGCTGGCTCATTGACAGGAAAACGAAATCTTGGCAACATTACTTTTAGACAAGTCGTTGAACTCTTCATCACGTTTATTAAAATAAAAGTTGTTCTAAATCAAGAAAAATGGCATTTTAATGAAAAAGAAAAATTATGAATTTTAAAGCAAAGAAATTTTTTATAGTTCATTATTTGTCAAACACATTTTATATTTTTTATCATTTTTGCCTGAAATCACATTCAAAAATTGTCATTTTAATTTAAAATTATTTTTTTCTATAATTGACCAAAAAAATCATTGCTGCATTTTTATTTATTTATTTATTTATTTATTCAAAAAATCGTTTTTAGTTTTTTTATTAACATACTTTTATTATCAACTAAAAATAATTTATATTAAAGTTTAAAAATCACATTTTATTGCAAAATAGAGAAAATCTGTCAAATTAGGAAAAAAAAAGTAAAGCATTTTTGACATGAGTAATTATAGACTTAAAATATGATAAAAATTATGCGATAAAAATTCTGAATAATCATGAAATTGATACAGGAAGATATTGATTGCTTTCGTCTATATATAATTCGTAAAATTTCTGACTAATTTTGTTTTTCTGTATAATTTCAATATATAATATAGATATATACGTATAGAATATATAAGCTTTCATCGAATAATAAAAGAGCGTATAATAGAAATCGTTGGAGAAAATTGCTAGAGAAAGTCTGCGTATAGTATAATCTGAACTTCTGTACATACAAGGATTGATAAATTATACATTTTGCATATTATGCGGTTTTTTTTCTTCTTATTTCTTTCCAAAATGCGATTATGAAGAACTATTAAAGTTATGTTTTACTTTATTAATATTGTTGTACGATAAATTTTATTATATTGGCAATATGGTATTATAATTATTGTATATTATAAAAAATTATACTGCGCTCTCTAAATTATAGAATTAGTAAAAAAATTTACTAATTTGAATGACTGACTTTCTGTTTTTGAACTAGTAAATTTTGTACTTTAATAAATAGTTATTTTTATACTAATTTATTAGTAAAATTTACTAATTCAAAATCGGTCAGAAAATATTTTAACTCTTTTTGAATTTTTATATTTTGATAAAAATTCATGGATTTTGAAATTCATGCGTAATTTTGTAGAAAATATGTTTTTGAATCCATAAAAATATTTCCAAATGAAAAAATTAATTTTCATAATTGTTGAAGCATTTTTTTTTTTTTTGAATTTTTGAAAAAAAAATGCTTCAAAAATTATGAAAATCAATTTTTTCATTTGGTATTTTTATTCCAAAAATTATAAACATATTATATTTCGTTTATATTTTTAAGAGAAAACTTTATAAGAATATTGAAAATTAATTTTGAAATATACGTAAAATTTTGTAAAAATTAGATCGTTTTTTTTTAAATTGTCTTCAGAGTGCTTTTTCTTCTTCTCTTTAATGGGGAAGGGAATTAAAAGAGAATAATAATATACTAACGATCAATTGTTACTTTATAGTCGTATATATACACTTGACAATAAAATTACAATTGCACATCTTCATATAAATGACGTCACACGTACATTTCTCCGATAAAGGTGTGTTGCAATTTTTATAAATACAAATTGCAAATGATTCACAAACTCTAGGAAAATTTTTCATTTTATCTTTATTTTCTCTATCATAAAAAATTTAATTCATTCAAAAAATTGATAAAAAATTTACCAAAATTCTTAATTTAAAAAACAAAACTACAATTTAAAAAAAAAATTTAGCGTCGACGCTGAGCTTTGAAAAGAATTTTTTTAAGTTTCTTACAATTTACCAAGTTTCTTGTTTTAAAAAAACAAAACTACAATTAAAAAAAAAAATTTAGCGTCGACGCTGAGCTTCGAAAATAATTTTTTGGGACTTATTCATTTTATCTTCATTCTCTTTGTCATTAAAAATTTCATTCATCCAAAAATTGATAAAAAATTCACCACTTTTTTAAAAAATTTAATTAAAAAACAAAACTACAATTTAAAAAATTTTTTTGTTAAATTCAAGGTCAATTAAATTGATTTCAGGTGGAGGGTAACGAGAGATACGATTCCCAGGGTCAGCAGCCGTCGAAACAACAACGTTTAAATTCATTCTCATCGCACACCCCTAGTGGCGTTGTTGTCGCAACCTTATCAGCAGCAGCAGCAGCAGCAACGAACGGCGAAGAATGCGTCGGCGTGAAAGGAACGACAACGACGACGACGACTCCAACATCAACAGTTTCTAATAAACTCGAGTCAAATAAAGTTGAGCATGATTTACAATTTTATCGTTCGAATTTTAATTACGATATTAATGGTAGTGCTGGTGGAGGTGGTGGTGTCGAATCAAAAAAAATTCATCAACAATTATTATTGGCAAGCAATTCAAATTGGAGTCAAAAAAATATTGTCGATGTCAATGTTGACGACGACAATGACGACAATGAAGGCGATGTTGACTATGACGATGTCGTTCACGTTATAAAACCACGAACAAGAATAATAAATGCCAATAAAACAAGAGCAAATCAACAACTTTCATCGAACATCATTGATAGTTGTCGATCTCATTCAAAACAACAGAATGTCATGGAGCCGGAACACAAGGAGGAAATTTGTCACGATTCCAGTTCGCCGAGTCCCGAGGTAAATTTTCGTTTCCAAATTTTTAACATTTCTTCTACTTTTCTTGAATTTCGACTCGAAAATACTTTATTTTTCATTTGCAGCATTTTTTTTTAAATAATAAAAATAAAAAAAAATAGTAAGTGCTAAAGGGTTTGTTTCGTTTATTCTTGAAAGATAAAAAACAGCATCTTTTTTATTTTTTTTATTAATATTTAATAAAAAAAATAGTAAAAGCTAAAGGGTTTGTTTCGTTTATTCTTGAAAGATAAAAAACAAATAAAAAATAATATTAAAAAAGAGAATATAATTATTATCCTGTTCAATTAGGTATTTATTTCTGTTTTCAACTCTGAAGATTTAAAAAAAAATTACTTTTCCACTAATTCTAATTCCAAAATAAATAAAAATTTCTTCAAAAAAAAAACGTTTCTAAAATGAAAAAAAAATTTTAAAAAAGGTTTTTAAAATTAAAGGGATTTTGAAAAATAAAAATAAGTTAACAAAATTTTGACTTTAAAACAATTTAATAAATAAGAATTTAAATAACTTGCTGACAATTGAAATAATTTAGTAAATTAATTATAATTTATAATTTTTAAAATTATAGTAATAAATTGATAAATTTATAAATAATTAATAACTAATTAATTTTTCTATTATTTAAATTAATTCTCAACAACGAAAGTAGACAATAATAATTTTGTAGAAACTGAATTTAAAGATAATCAGAAAAATATTTTTAATTTTAAGCAAGTAGTTTGAATTAATTAAATTAATAGACTAATTAATTAGATAAATAAGTCATTAAATATTTTAAATCTCTTATTATGAAGTAAGTCAGTAAATATTTTAAATTAATTTTAATTTCCTGTTTAATTAAATCAAAAATTAATAATGCCCCGAATTAAATACTGAATTTAATCTTGAATTTCGAAAGGGGCTCAATTCTACAAAAAAAACGATAAGAGTCATTTTCGCTAGCATAGGTTATAGAAAAGTAATTCTTACTGTTTTTCGATTGGGGATCCCCTTTTAAAATTAAATGCGTAATTAATTTTTTAAAAAATTAATTATTAATTTAATATTCAATAAATTTCGTAAATTGCAGCAAAAGTAGAAAAATAAGAGCGAGATTTTTATTTTCTTTTTGAATTTTGAAAAAAAACATCTGGTTTTTTCGGGGAAAGTATATTTATATATCTACTTAAATTTTTGGGAGGTATGTGAAAATAAATATAAATATATATTTTCCTTTGAATAATTTGTCAGGGGGGTAAGCTGATTTTTATTTTGGTGCATGCAGTTCCCCAAAACATGCTTAAAAATGTTTTCGTCTGTATATATGAGGAAAAGGAGGATTTTACCACTACCAACATTCATATATATTGAATACAACTACCACTGCGGGTATTGATTTTACGCCGCAACATTCTCTCCTTCCATCCTCCGCGCCCTTTTACTTTTACTCCTCCTTGTGTGTGTCTCTATTTTGCTTCAAGACTCGACCCTTTTTTTCGTACACAGAACTATCGCCATAAACTTATCTTCTATTTTTTTTTAGTTCTGCGTAAATATCTAAGTTTTCTAGGTTCCTTGCACTATTCTCGCAGTTTTTTTTATTTATAAAAGAAGTATTTTTACTATTACAGAAGTAATTAACCAGCGAATATGAAGTAATAAAGATAAACATTAACAAATCTGTTAATAATACATTAATTAGTATATTCGAATGTTTTCGATTATTACAATATTAACATTTTTTGAACATTAGGAAAATTTTGTTTTTTTGTATTTTTTTAGATTTTCGGAAGAGGTGGCAAGGGATATGAAAACGATGCGAGTAGCGAGGACGATAGTAGGCCAAGTTCTTCTTTGCAAACACAAAGATTATCCTCTCTTTATCATGGAACTTGGCCTGTGAAACGTGACGTTTGGAATAATCAACAATACAATTTTCCTAATCCTACTTCTTCTGTACTTCAGAATGTAAGTTTTGTGATTTTTTTCATTTCTTTTATTTGAAAAAAGTTGCTCCTATACATTAGTTTGGTTAAAGCGTTGAAAATACGGTTTTTTCAAACATAACCTAAAAAATATCTTTACATTTTTTCACATATTTTGCACTAAATTCACTAAATTGACATTAGATTCGTAATCAGACCTTGAAAACCCTCAAATAGTAAATTTTAAGCAATTTCGATCCGCCATTTTGAATTTTTTAAATCTGACGTCAGATTCATAATCAGCGATCCCGAAAACCCCCAAGTAACAAGTTTCAAACAAATTTAAATAGTTTTTAATTTTTATCCGCCATGTTGGATCCGCCTTTTTGAATTTTTAAATGCTCTTGTCAGATTCGTAATCAGCGATCCCGAAAACCCCCAAGTAACATGTTTCTTGCGAATTCGTTCAATTTGAACATTCATCCGCCATATTGGATCGGCCATTTTGAATTTTTAAAAACTGATGTCATATTGTATTGTAGAAAAGCCTTTAAGTCGAATTTTGACTACCAAAATTATAAACCATCTATGAGGCGAGGCGAAAAATCCCTTTTTTTCTCACATGTGTTTTTTCTTGATTCATCTTTCAGGAGATGGCGAGTATCATGAGTTACTCATCAGCATCGGGCGTTGGTGGTGGATCATCATCAATAGCCGGTGGTCAGAGTCATCGACGACTTGGCGGCAAAGTTGATGTGGTCTACAGTTTATTGGGAATGTTGGGTCGCAGTGAGGGACGTGACGACATGAGTGCGACCCTCCTCTCAATGACTAATTCAATCGAGAATTGTCGTGTCATGAGACAATCGGGTTGTTTGCCGCTATTAATTCAATTGATTCACGCGCCGGACCAGGATCATGAGACGCGGGAACGAGCAGCCCGTGCTTTGCACAATATCATACAGGCACGAAGCGATGAACGCGTTGGACGTCGTGAGGTACGAGTTCTACGTCTTTTGGAGCAATTGCGCGATTATTGTCAAACTTTAAGGATTTCCCTTGAAACAATGGGTCATACGCGTGATGATCTTGAACGTCATCCGGGAGCGACGATTGCCGCACTCATGAAATTGTCCTTTGATGAGGATCATCGTCATGCAATGTGTCAACTTGGGGGTCTTCATGCGGTGGCCGAACTTATTGAAATGGATCACACGGCGCATGGTAGTGAGTGTGAGGATCCGAATTGTATTACTTTGAGGAGATACGCGGGAATGGCGCTCACTAATCTGACATTTGGGGACGGAAATAATAAGGCGCTGCTGTGTTCGTTTAAGGATTTTATGAGATCTCTGGTGTCGCAATTGCAGAGTCCAAGTGATGATTTGAGACAAGTGACCGCGAGTGTTTTGCGAAATCTCTCCTGGAGGGCGGACAGCAGCAGTAAGCAGACACTTAGGGAAGTTGGGGCTGTGATTGGTTTGATGAGGGCAGCAATGGAGGGGAAGAAGGAATCAACGCTGAAGAGCATACTCTCCGCTCTGTGGAACCTCTCGGCCCATTGCAGTACGAACAAGGTGGATATTTGTGCGGTGGAGGGTGCTCTCTCTTTCCTGGTCGATATGTTGAGCTACAAGGCTCCTTCGAAGAATTTCGCGATTGTCGAGAACGCGGGCGGCATTTTGCGGAACGTCTCCAGTCACATTGCGGTTCGGGACGATTATCGCACGATAGTTCGCGAACGCGGGTGTCTCCAGGTTCTCCTCCGTCAACTGAGATCGCCGAGTCTAACGATCGTCAGCAATGCGTGTGGTGCACTGTGGAATCTTTCGGCGCGTTGCGCTCACGATCAACGCCTCCTCTGGGACCTCGGTGCCGTGCCAATGCTCCGCAGTCTCGTCCACTCCAAGCACAAAATGATCTCCATGGGCTCGAGTGCCGCTCTAAAGAATCTTCTCAGCGCTCGACCGGGTTGCAACAATTTGGTACATCTCGATTCGACCGCTCGCGGTCTAGGACTCTCCACATTGCCCACCCTCGTAGCCCGTCGTCAAAAGGCCCTTGAGCAAGAAATCGATCAAAGTCTTGCCGAGACGTGCGAGAACATCGAACCCAGCACGTCACCAATAGAGAAATTCGCGTTCAAAATGGAACAACCAAATCTCATCGCCACGAAATTGTCATCAAGTCATCAGCAACCGGGACCGTCGGGTATCAATCGTTACCCAAGCGTCGCACGCAGTGAGAGTCGGGAATCAATGCGTTCCGTCACCAGTACACACTCGGACACGATATTCGAAAAAGTGAAAATGAATGGAGCAATCGATCATCAAATCCGCCAACAATCGGCCTCCCTCCACTCTGCCGTGGGCTTCGAAATAGGACCAATTGGCGATTCAGTCAAGTCCTCACAATCGGAGAAAAAATACGCCCAGAGGTATAAAAACGCAGGCATAAATCGCATGAAACCAGATGGAGATTCCATGTTGAAACGTACGGGCTCCACGATCTCTTGGTCGACCCCCGATCAGGAGGCCGCATGCTCACAGGCTCTTCATTCCTCCGTCGAGGATAGACTCTCGCAGGCGAGTTCTACCGATTTCTCCTTATCCTCCGATCATCAACATTGCATCGAAATCAAGAAAACAGAAAGTGGCGTTAAAGTTAAAACATCCGTCGATAATGGAAAATTCCCCGAACAAAATGAAACCCATATAATTGAAAAAATGGGCGGAAATTATGGAGAACCTTTCTGTGATTATGCAGAAACGGATTTAGATCAGACAACGGATTATAGTTTACGTTACGCTGAACACAATTCAGATGATGAGAAACAAAGTTCCGCTTATTTCACTTGTTCGGAGCAAAATGTTTTAAATGGCGATACCGTGAAGACATATTGCACCGAAGGAACACCATCGCAAATGTCACTGAATTCTTCAAGAGCAACTTCCGCTTCGGATTTACAGGAGGATATTCGTCCAAGGAATTTGTTTAGAACAATCACGGGCTCGAGAATATCGGCACATCATTATGGAGTTGATGAACAAATCACATCTGGCGAAGGTGCAATTTTTATTTTTATATATCAAATAGAAATAGAAAGTTTATTAAAGAAAGTTATTTGTAATTATAGCATTGTGAAGAAATTCCGATTTTGAGTATTTTAATTCTTGTTTTTGTAGATTCCGGAGCCGCTAGTTTTAGATCGTTGACAATTGATGACGAGCACAAAATCACAAACGATTCGAAGCACAAAGAATTCGAAAGAAAGTCGAGAAAAACTTCGTCTCCGTGTCCTGTGAATCTTATTAGCGAGGATGATGACGATGATGATGATCAAGGACTTCTTGCCGCATGCATTAACATTGGAATGCAAAAGAATAACAGGTATTGTGTTTTTTCATCGAAAAAATGATTGATTTTGATTATTATTTTCTTTTTTTCATGAATTTATTTTTTTTCAGACACAGACAATCATTTAGACGTAACAGCCTTGAGGAAGAGGAAATACAAACTGAATGCAATTTAACTCGATATGAAACCAGCACTGAATTGAATCGAGTGGATAACACAGTGACTCCAAATGTTCAGACGCGAAAAAATTCCCGTTATAGTATGCAGGAAATTATGTACGATTTCTCAAGTGAGGTAAGTGAGGCGAAAAAAGAGATTCCTGTATTGCAGGACGAGAAATCAAAAGATACAAAATCATCAATTGATCGAGTAGAAATTTCTTCTGAAGAAATTGTCATTAGTGGAAGTTGTGAATCGTTTGATTCTGTTGAGCGTTCAGAGCAAGCTCTCTTGGAATTTTGTATTCAATCGGGAATTCCAAAGGTCACTAACGATTCGTCAATTGTTAATGCTCGGGAAATTATTGAAATCGCTGGCGACACCGTCGACGCTGTGTCTAAATCAATATTAACTGATGATGAGGAAACTATCAAAGAGGATGAAACTCATAAAGTTGAGGAAGTTTATCGACGTCAACGCGATCCGGACGCAATGATCGCTTCATTAGATCGTCTTACGGCAACTTTAGTTCAACAAACGGAAGCAATGCGGGAACGTGACTCCAATGCAATGAAGCAAAGTTTACAGAGTGATACATGGAACGAAGATTCGCCGAATGACGTCTCTTTCCCTAGTATCAGCGTCAGTGCACCTCTAATAGGTTCATTTAAAAGCGACGCTATCGATGAGACTTCCGTCACGAAAACTTCTTCCGAAAATCTGCAAAATTCCCCGGATCGTAAGATTGAGAATATTTCGGAAAATTTACAGAATCGAGAAATGACAGATTCGTTACTTATCGAGGTGGAAGCAATAAAACTCGCGCAAGTTGTCTCTGATCAATCCCTCAGTTCGAGTTACATAACAGCCCCGGATCACAGTGAAATGTATACAATTCGCGATCATAGTTTTTCCGTCTCAATGCCCGTGAGGCCAAAGAATACGCCGACTTGCACGCAACGCAAAAAGTCTCTCCCACTTGGCGTTGTCGCGAAACGCGCCCTAAGTTACAATCAAAGTCACACCACGAGTCTGGAGAATCTTTCCCAGTTGGAAAACGTAAAACCACCCTCGATAATGGACGAGGTACTCGATATCGCCGACATGGAAAACAGCATGATCAGTGTTGCTAGTATCATCTCTGAGATTGCCGACACAAAAGAAGATTCTCACAGTGATTCGGTGTTCGATATGGTCAAACCCGTCGCGAATGTTCTATCGATGACGTGTCTCCGTTACGCGGAATCGCTACCGTTGAGTGGTAACAATAGTCTGAGCGAGTGTCTCGAGAATATTAACCCCCCCTCGCTTTTCAATGAAGTCACCGAAATGGACGAGACCCTGTGCAGTGATACTCTTTGCATTGACGTCGATTTTCGCTGCGACGAAGCCTATTACATTGATCGAATCGATGAAGCCAATGATACCGACGAAGCGGCGACGCCAATTCCAAGTTCCGCCGAATCCACCCCAAAGAAACGTCTTCGCGGGCACTTGACTCCAAAACAAAAGCGCCAATTAGCGAAAGAACGCTACAAAACATATACAATTGCCGCCGAAATCGTCAAAAAGGAAGAGGACAGACGAAAACTCGAACAGAGTCTTCCGCGTCTCACCCCAAAGCAACGTCGTCAAGAGGATCGTAATCGTTTCCAGACGCAAGTTCTCGACACTCCTCTCGACCTAAAACCAAAAGTACCCGAACCTGAAATTGAGAAACCAAAAGATTGTCAGACAGATAAAATCGAATCGCCTGTTAAATCCGGTATCCCAATGCTTAGGAAAGTTGCTCCCAAAACACGCGAACGGGGAAAAGACGAAAGATTCAGAACGCGAACAATCAACGACAGTTGTCTGATGAATTTCCAACACACCATGCTTGAACAGAACGCGAATATTGTACTAAATACCCTAAACGAAACATCAAAGGGCGACGAACTCCTGGATTGTGAAACCCTAAGTCTCGTCTCCAACGAATCCGGTTCCGAACACTTCCTGCAAATGCGATTCAACAACGGTGAATCGAAACGCGAGAGCCGAACCCGCGTCTTCAGTTACGCAACACCGTCCGATGTTCGTGAAACAAACCAGTCTGAATTCGTCCCACCGACTCCAGCGGAATATATCAAGAAATCTCAGGAAATCGGTAATGGAAGTCAAATTCCAGAAAGTAGAAAAGGAAGACTGACGGAACGAGCGAAGAGTCTAGAACCAGAAGAATCGGAGGGCATGTCAAGCGATGATGATGAGAGACAGGAGGAATCAAAGGGACCCCGGATTGTTAAACCCGGAATCATTAGTCGAGCCGTGAGTCTTGAGGCTGAGGATATTCCAAAAGGAATTCGTGGTAGGCGAAAACCACTGTTTTCGAATCCTCCTAAAAAAGTGACGCCACAATCGTCGCCATCGAAGCAGAGGGGCAGCGCTATTCCGATTGGTCGCAGTAACACGTCGCCGATTGTTCGCGCTACTCGCGCAACTACTCTACGTCAAAATACCAACACGTCCCGAGAAATTTCCAAATGGAGTCCGAAGCATGGAAATTCTTCATTAAATCCACAAGGTAATTGTTCAAATTTGTTTTAGGTACTTTATAGTTGAGACAGAAAAATCAGTACATAATGATGACTTACCAGTCGTTATGTAATGATTTTTCGAGTTGTCTCACACCAGGTTGTGCTTCGTTGCTGTACTTTTTTAACTACCAACTCACCAGTAGCTAATTCCAATAAAAAAATGTCCAATTCTTAATAGATTACGCACGCCGCTGGATACGGATCATGTGGTGAGTTGATTAGTTCCCCACGATCGCTAACTGTTCTAATCGTACCTCAAGTGTCTCACTTGAAAATCTCTGGCATTCACAATAGCTTTTCATCAAATCTTTTCCAAATATTTCCGTTATTCACTGAAGGTTTCTATGAAAGTTTTTGTAGATAATTGTTTTTTAGATAGGTCTCACAAGTTAGGAGACATTCACTTTAGCGTTTTATCAATGTTTTTGATGATAATTGGCCTCCATACAGCAAAATCCGCGAGTTTAGGAGACATTCACTTTATGATTTTACCGAGATTTTTGATGATTTGTGTTCATATTGATTCTGCAATGTTAGGGGACTTAGGCTCTAGGCCTTTTTACCCTAGTTTTTGAAGATAATAGACGTCCAGGCGGATTTTATAAGATTAGAAGACATTCACTCTAGTGATTTATCAAAGTTTTTGACGATATTTTGCCTTTATACCGTATCCGCCAGTTTGGAGACATTCACTTTAGGATTTTATTAAAGTTTTTGATGATATTTGGTCTCGATACGGATACCACGTATTTAAGAGACATCACAGTAGTTTTCTATCAAATTTTCTTATGGTAATTGGTCTTCGTACAGACGCCATCAATTTAGAAAACATTTACTGTAAGTTTTTACCAAAGTTTTTGAAGATAATTAATGTGGAGACAGGTCCCGAATATTAGGAGACATTTACTCTACCGTTTCATCAAAGTTTTTGATAATTGTTCTTCGTACAGACCCCATCAAATTAGGAGACATTTACTGTAGGTTTCTACCAAAGTTTTTGAAGATAATTAATCTGTAAACAGGTCCCAAAAGATTAGGAGATATTCACCCTAGCGTTTCATCAAAGTTTTTGATGATATTTGATCTCCATAAAGTATCCGCCAGTTTAGGAAACCAAGGTTTTTGATGATATTTAGTCCCCACATTGATTCTGGAACTTTAGGAGATATTCACTCTAGAGTTATCGAAGTTTTAGATGATTTTTAGCCTTCATACCGTATCCGCCAGTTTAGAAGACATTGACTTTAGGATTTTACTAAAGCTTTTGATGATATTTGGTCTGTACACTGATTCCGTGATTAAGAGACGTTACTTTAGTTTTTTATCAAAGCTTCTGGAAGTAATTGGCCTTTGTACAGATCCCACTAATTAAGATAATTAATGTTTAGACAAATCCTAAGTTTAGGATATCTTCTCCCTAGCATTTTATCAATGTTTTTGACGATAATTGGTCTTCGTACTGACCAAAGTTTTTGAAGATAATTAATCTGTAAACAGATCCCAAAAGTTTAGGAGATTATTCACCCTACAATTTTATCAAAGTTATTTATATTTGTTCTCTATGCCATAACCGCCAGTTTAGGAGACACTCACAATAGGTTTTTACCAAAGTTTTTGATAATATTTAGACTCCACATTGATTCCGTAAGTTTCGGAGACATTCACTCTAGAGTTTTATCAAAGTTTTTGATGATATTTGGCCTTTAAACCGTGTCCCCTAGTTTTGGAGACATGCACTTTAGGATTTTACTATTGTTTTTGATGATATTTGATCTCTATACTGATACCGCAAATTTAGGTGACCAATATATCATAGTTTCTAATGGTAATTGTTCTTCGTACAGGTCTCGAAGATTAGGAGATATTCTCTCTAGCGTTTTATCAAAGTTTTTGATGATATTTAGCCTCTATACCGTATCTGCTAGTTTAGGAGACATTTACTTTTGGATTTTACAGAGGTTCTTGATGTTGATTGATTTCACGATGTTAGGGGACATTTGCTATAGGTTTTACCAAACTTTTTGAAGATAATTAATTTGCAGACAGCTCCCAAAAGTTTGGGAGATATTCAGCCTGGTATTTTATCAAAGTTTTTGATGATATTTATTCTCCATATAGTATCCGCCAGTTTAGGAGACATTTACTGTAGGTTTATCCAAAGCTTTTGATGACATTTAGTCTCCACATTGATTTCTCAAGTTTAGGGGACGTTCACTTTATGATTTTACTAAAGTTTTTGATGATATTTGGTCTCTATACTGATTGCGTGAGTTTAAGAGACATCACTGTAGCTTTTTATCAAAGCTTCTGATTGTAATTCGTCTCTGCAAAGACCCCAATAATTTAGGAGATATTTACTGCAGGTTTTTACCAAAGTTTTTGAAGATAATTTATCTTCGTACAGATCTCTCTAGTTAAGGAGACATCACTGTACCTTTTCTTCAAATCTTTTAATGATATTTGTTCTCGATACTGATTCCGCGACATTAGAAGTTATTAATTTTAGGTTTTAACGGAGGTTTTTAATGATAATTGGTGTTCCTGCAGATCCCGCAAATTTAGGAGAGTTTTATAGGGTCCCAATGATAAAACTAAATACTTCCAATAAAGTGAACCCCCATGTAGAATTCTCTTTAGAATTTTCCTTTAGAATCTCTTTTCTCTCTTTTTCAGGAGCTTCATCACCAAACGACAAGAAATTAAAGCGTAGCTCAATCCCCCAGAAAGGATCATCAATAACCATCGCAAAAGCAATGAAACGTCACAGTTCACCGCCAATTAAACTCGAGCGTCAGGGAACATTTACAAAAGACGAGCCAGAAGTGGAGAATGCACCCACTGTCCCATCGCTTCCAACATCACCAGCAAGATCGAAAATCGCCAAACCAAAAGTCACAATGATACCGGGAAAAAAGAATTTCGAAGCAAAAAAACTCGAGACAACATCAATTCCAAAGAAAATTGTCACAAATCTCGAGAGTTCAATTCCAAAGAAAATAGTCACAACCCTGGGTCAACGATCGAACAGTAATTCGAATATTCAACCACAAAAACGTACCAAGGAAGCGACAAGTAAAATTGCAAGTTTATGGAAGAGGGTCGAGGACAGTAAATTAAAGCAAAAACTTGGGAAACCCGATACTAGAAAATGGATAACGGGCAATGGACCACAAGTTGATGATGACGATGACGACGACGATGATGATGATGTCGAACAAGTGGATAATTCAAATTTTCGATTATTTCGCAGTTCAACATTTGAGGGAATGCCAAAAACGATAAGTGACTCGTCAATTGCGTTGAAATACGCAAAACCCGAAATGCAGTGTAATGGAATGAAATATCGGAACTCATGTGATCTCAGTGGAATTCCAGTGAAACATCCCGAACGTAAATTAACTCAGGAGGAGAATATTATTTTTCGAAATGCAAAATATTCCGATTTAACGACTGATGTCGTCGAAATTGACATTACAAAGAGAATATCAAGATTGGGTTCATTTATTCGTGTTGATGAATCATCATCGTCGTCGTCTTCCGGTGTAAAGGAAATTGCTGCTGGTGGAGGTGGTTTACGTACAACAGCATCGGCAATTGTGCCGCCATTTAATTATAATCCACATTCTGGAATTACACAGCAATTCAACGCCAAAGATCGTAAGAGTTTGATTGATGGACAGGATTTTAAATCCGATATTGTCACAGGTTCTGCTCGTGTAACGACAGTGTAAAGAAGAAAAGAAAGGAAAAAAAAGAACAATTTTTTTTTCAGTTTGTGATACTTAGGAACAATGGTGACTTTTGTTTCGTCGTAGATCGAATACCTGGGAATTTTTATTTGGTGTTCGATCTATAATTGCGTTTCTTTTTTGCCTCTTCCCAATTGGAGTCATGAAATTGATTTAAGGAATGAAAATTTTTTTTCAGTTTGTTTGGAATTCCTTGAGGCGAGGATTGAGAAAAGAATCATTTTGAAGGAAAAAATTATTAATTATTAAGTAAAAATAATTATTGCTAGATAATTAATTGTTGGTGATAAATATTAATAATATTAAATATTAATTAATTGTTAGTTACTATTAAATAGTAAGTAATTATTAGTTACTATTTATCAATAATTAATTATTAGTGTATGAAAAGCGAGAGCGCACGCGCAAGCGTCGAAGTGGGGCAATGGGAGTGAGAGAGACATTTCGGTTCTTCTCTCTCGCACTCATTGTGCCCGCTGCGGCGCTTAAGCTTCGTACACACCGGCAAAAACTAATTTTCCATGAAAAACAAATTTTTGAATATTTTCAAAATAAATGAAAAACGAGAAGTTTTCGAAAAAAAACTGTTTTTTAAGTTAAATGAAACTTATGAAATTTAAAAAGAATTTTGGAAAAAATTTATTTTCCAAGAAAATTTTATTTTAAGCTATAAAAATTATGCGAAAGAGAATATTTTTTTTTTACTTGAGTAAAAAAAATTAGGATTTAAATTAATTTCATGACACCATGATTATTTTTTTTTTTTGCCAAATCTTGTATTAATGTTAAATGTTAATTAAGAAAGAAAAACAACAGTCCATTTTTTAATGAAAAAAGAAAGAAAATTTTTCTCTTAAATTAAGACTCGAAAAAATTCCTGTTTAGACATGAAAGAAAAAAAATGAATTTTCTACTATGTCTTTAATTCCGACTAGTCATTAATATTTTTCTTTTTTCTTTTTACTATTTTAGTAAAAGAGAAATCGACACTTATTTATTTAGTTATTATTTAATATTTGATTTAAAGAAAATCAATTTTTAAACAGAACAAATTTTCAAACAAAAGATTCAGATTTTTAAGAGAAATAAGAAAATAAGTCCAGTAATTTTTAATTGTTTCAGTGAGATATGATATTTGAATAATTTAAATAAAAAAAAATTTAGATTCGTTAACATTTATTTTAAATTATTCGTGTTAGAAATTTTTTTTCAAAAAAAATTCATTTATTGATATAAAGTAGTTTATTTATATAAAAAAAAATTTTTGATTTTAAATTCTAATTTTGTAGAATTGAAAAATTAATGTAAAAAAAATAAAAAAAAATTAAGTTTAATAAAAATTATTAGTTTTAAAGGATAAAGATTTGAATACTTACTGAGAAGAAGGTTACAATTTTAAAAAATACATGTTCAATGTTTTTATTTCATCTTAAAATATTATTTTTACTAATTAATAATAAGATTATAATTTTTGTTTTTTAAAATACTTTTTTGCATTCGATTATGTGATGAGCGATTACTTTTAAAAAAACTAAGAAGGAAAAAAATATTTGTAGACAAAAGTTAAAAGAGCTGATGTTCTGAGTTTAAGATCTTATGTAGATTTTTCATGGTGTGTGTAAATACATATTCAATAATACGTCGATTAATTCAATATTAATTATTCACTGATCTTAAAAAAAAGGAAAAAAAATTTGGCGTACACATTATAATAATGATTGTACTAACTTATTTATTCAAATTCTGTATATAAAGATCAATGAATAAAATTTTTAGGGAAAGGTTAGTGAAATGGGCGTGTAAAAGTTTATAACCAAGTAAATTTATTTGATAAATCGGGAATTTCAGAAGCGAGAAAGAAAATAAACATTAGTAAAAAAATATCACTAAAAAAAATGAATAATGAAAAATAAATTTACAATTTACAATTTTTAAAAGAAAAGAAAAAAATTGATAGGAATGAGAAAAATTTCTTTCGATTTAAAAGGACAATTATTTATTCTCTTTTTAATTGAAAGAACTTTGATTTCTCAATTTCGAATTTTACAATGAAAATTTTTTTTTATTTTTAAAAATTGTCATTTGTAATTTCAATGTTTACAAGAATTAAAAAAAATTTTAATTTACAGTTTCAACTGAAACAGAATTTTTGACATTCAATATAATCAATGAATAGAACAAATTAAATAATTTATACGATTAAAATTATTTCGCAGTACTGTACAATTTATTTATACTGTATACATTTTTTTGTCAGTACTGTACAATTGATTTACTTTTAGTGAAGAAATTATTTGTCAATACTGTACAATTTATTAACTTTTGCAGTAAAAATTATTTGGCACTACTGTACAATTTCTTTAAACTGTATATATTATTTTGACATTACTGTACAATTTATTTATATTATTTAAATTATTTGTTAATACTGTACGATTTATTTATGTTAACCATATAAATTATTTGTCAATACTCTACAATTTGGACTGTATAAATTATTTGGCAATACTGTACAATTGACATCTTTTTCTCCATAATTAATTAAACTATTAATTAATTAATAAAATTGCGACAAATTACAACCAAATAATTTGTATAGTACAAATAAATACAGTGTAGACAAATAAAAAATATAGTTTAAATAAATTGTACACTATTGGCAAATAATTTATACAGTATGAATAAATAAATTGTACAGTGTTGCCAAATAATAAATACAGTATAAACATCTTGTACAGTATTGACAAATAATTTATACACTATATAAAAATAAATAGTACATTGTTGACAAATAATAAACTTAGTATAAAAAAAATTGTACAGTATTGCCAAATAATTCATACAGTTTAATTAAATAAATTGTACAGTATTGACAAAAAAGTAAATGCAAAAAGTACAAAAATTCCCGATTTATTGAATTTAACAAATTTTACTATTTTACAAATAAATCTTATTTTTTCCTTTTTATTTTTTGGTTTTTGCTTAGAAAAAATAGAAACAAAAATAGATGCCCCATGAATTTTAAAAAGTGAAATGAGAATGCATGTTGAAAGGGAAGAAAGATGAATTCCTTGTAAAGACTGATAGCGAAGCATTAGATGAAAGATATGAGGATTTTCTTCCTTATACATATGAAAATGAAGAAAAAAGTAAATTTCAATTTAAAAACGAAGAGAAAAATGATAAAAAAAAATACCCAGCTTGAAGGACTTGTAAACGCGACCTAAGTTTCTAGTCCAGTTTATATAATTAATATTAATAAAAAAAAATGCGTACTGCAGGAAATATAGTCTAATATATATATTATATATATTTTGAAGAGCATGAAACAGAAAAAGTCATTTAAAAAAATTTTTGACTTAAAAGGGAGAAAAAAATAATATTCATCATCGTGTAAATTTTTCATTATTATTACAATATTCCCCCGTAATGGACCAAATTGCGCAAAAAAAGGAATTTTTTCTTATTTTTTCCTCTAAATTATTATTTTTTATACGCACTTAAATTATTATTTTCAAAATATTTTAATAATTTTCTTTTTTTCAAAGAAATTTTGTTTAGGATTTTTATTTTTTACTGTATTAATCAAAAACTAATTTTTACTTTTCATTGATTTTCTTCAATTATTTTGAATAAATGGAAAATTTGTTTTTGTCAGTTTTAATTTTTTTTTTATTTTTCCCTTATTTCTTTTTTAGTACTTTAAAAAAAAAGATTATTTAGTGTCTGTGACGCTGTTAATGTACATAATTACTACCAATTTTATTATTAGAATAATTATTATTTGTATTATTATTATTATTTTATTATTATAATTTATTATTATTTTATTACTACTATTATTTTCTATTATTATCATTATCATTATCTTTATTAATATCATTACCTATCATTATTTTTTAATTATTATTTATTATTTTTATTATTTTATTAATATAATAATTTATTTTATTATTAGAATTATAATTTTATTATTATTAAATTATTAAACAATTATTAATAATATTAATTCGTCCTCTCGTGTCATGTTTCCTTCTGTAAGATCGACTTACAGAAAAGCTTTTCAATTTCCTCAAAATTTAGAAGGAAATTGATCGACATGATTTTTGGAGAAAAAAAAGTCTTGTGCGAAAAATGAAAAAAAAAACCAACAAGGAAGACTTTATATATTAATTCTTGATCCTTCATCCAGTTCGGATTAATTAATTTTAATCCTTCCAACTCGGAATTAAGGGGATCCAGTTTTCTTTACTTTTCTTTTTCTTAAGGAACATAATCTCAAATTAAAAGCGCGCTCTTTAATTCCATATGAAAAAAATAATTTAGAAATTAATTTTAAAATATTTTTCATATTTTATTATAAAATACTGGAGAAAAATTTCGATTTTTGGTAGAGAAAAAAAAAATTAAATTATTCTGTTTATAAAAAAATAGACAAAATTAATTCAACAAAAATTGTTTTTTTCAAGTAATTTGAAATTTTTTTTTTTTTTTTTTAAGTACCTAACTTATGACGATAATGATTTTAATTACAAATAATCTCTTAATTAAAAAGTTTTTTTTTTATTTTGAAATTAATTTCTAATTTTTATTATATGTAATAAATGCGTTTTTATAGTTTTTTTTAAACCACTGTTCGATATTTGCACCGCCTTAATTTTTTTTCTCTTAAATTTTCGATAAAAATAAAGCGAATTTGGTCCGTACTGTGCGAGTATTGTTATTTTCATTTTCTGTAAACCAATATACATATATAAATATATAGCTTAATGATGATAATAATTCTTCTTAAGTTTGTCAAATATTTTATTTCTTTGTATATTATTGATTATATAATAAAAAGGATAAAAAGAAGAAGTAATAAATTTACAGACTCTTAAAAAAATCTTTATTCCCAAAATCTTTTTCTTTTAACAATTATTTCGTGTGGTATGTATGTAGTTTATTTTTTTATTTTCTCTTTCTTTAGAATAAAACTGGATAATTAATTCTTTTTTGTTTCAAAAAATTTTTTTTTCCTTTTTTTTACAAAAAAATAATGAAAACCTTATAAACTATACGTTACAATGGATGCTCATAGAGATTAATTGATTTGTCTTCAGAAACAGATGTCAGTAAATTGTTTTTGTGCGGATGATACTTTACAGACCAGACCTGAAATATTTTTTTTGTTTTGTAAATATAAATTGGAAATTTAATCGATTCATTAGTAATTAAATAATTAAATTAAATCTATAGTTTATTTTTAATTTTTAGAATTTAAAATTGTTATATTTTTAAAGAATCAGTTTTTTTTATGTTAGTATTACTTAAATTAATAAAAATCTAGCAAAAAGAATTTTCGAAAAATTCAATTTTAGTAAATTTTAATTCACTAGAATTGAATTTTTCGAAATTTTTCTATTGATTTAAATTATTAATATTCGATTGAATAGATTTTGAATTTAATTTTTTGTAATAAAGAGAGAAAAAGTGATTCGAATGTAATATTCGATTGGATAATTTTTTAATTTAATTTTAATTTTTGTAATAAAGGGAGGAAAAAAGTAATGAAAATGAAAATAATTACTTGATCGCTGTGATCGTGGAATGTGTGTAGACATTGCCTTTGAGCCAATTCCCATACTTTAACAGTGAGATCCGAACTGCTGGATGTAAATTTTTGACCATCGGGAGCAAAAGAAACGCCTAGAACCCAGGAGGCATGGCCCGACATTGTCCCGGCAACATTAGCATCTTTTCTGTTTAATAAAAAGAAAATATTAATTTACTCACTAAAAATATTTCTGACAATATTTATTTAAACTATTGTAAATAAATTAATAAAAAAATGATAATAATGAAAAAAAGTAAATTAACAATTTATTAAAATAACTAAAATAAAAAAATATTAAGAATAAAATAGTAAGAATAATAAAATTAATAATAACAACAATATTAATGATAATAGTAATAATACAAGCGATAATAATAATTTAATTTATTTTTTATTTTAAAAATAAAAATTTTTTTTTAATTGAAGATTATTTAATTTAATTGTTTGCAATTTAACTAAATTAAAACATTTAATTAAAAATTAAAAATTTTAATTAAATTATTTAAAATCTAAAATAATAGAAATAAAAATCTTTTGAATGTACTTACACATCATATAATTTCATATGACCGTCATCGGATGCAGTTAAAAGTAACTGCGAGTCTGGGGAGAAACAAAGAGACCTAATCGGCATAGCGTGACCTAAAGGTAAGAAAAAAATATATTATTATAATTAGAAAAATTAACAAATTTAAAAATAAACTTTGTTTCTTTTTTTTACAGAATTTCTTTTTCGAATAAACTCTTTTTTTAATCACCTTCTAAAGTTCGCAATACTTTTCCATGCGCTACGTCAAAAATATTAATAATTCCATCAATTGCTCCGCTTGCAATATATTTTCCATCCGGACTCTAAGGGTGAAAATTAATTAAATTATTAAAAGAATTAAAAGTATTTTTAATTTTTAAAATTAAAAATACTTTAACTAAAATTTTTCGTTAAAATTGTTTGCAATTTTAATCGATAGTATTTTTAAATTTCAGTGTTTTAAATGAAAAATTTAATTTTGGTTACAATTATTTAAATTTTCAGCCTAAAGTTATAATTTTAGTTAAAATTATTACAATTTTCAGCCTAAAATTATAAGTTTAGTTCAAATTATTAATATTTTCAGCCTAAACTTATAAGTTTAGTTAAAGTTATTTAAATTTTTAGTCTAAAATTATAATTTTAGTTAAAATTACTTACAATTTTAGCCTAAAATTAATGATAAGTTTAGTTATATGTAATTTATTTACATTTTTCTGAAAATAATAAAAATTATTTAAAAACAAAAATTACAATGAATAAAGAATATTAACATTTATTCATCAGAATAGTTCATTTTTCAAAAGAATAATAAAATTCTCAACTCACATAGGCGACACTGAGGGTGAATTTTCCACCTCTTGTGTCCAAAGTTTGCTCCTGTTTTCCACTCTCGGCACCGTACATATTGATTTTTCCCGCATGACTACCGGAAACAATGAATTTATCGTCCGGTGAATAAACCAGTGTCCAAATATCAACTGGACCAACTTCGATTGTCGTTAATTTTTCCCCAGACTCCAAGTCCCATAATCTTAGACTCGAGTCTAATGAACTGGAGGCGCATTCTGAAAAACATTTTTTTTTTCGTGTAAATTTGAATGAAAAAAACATTTTAAAAAATGGAAAAATTTTATTTTTTTTCCCATTTAGGAAAGAATTTATTGTAATATAAAAATTTTACTCACTCGAACCGTCTGAACTTACAGCTACGGACACAACACCAAGTGAATGTCCGGTTAATTTATGTTTTAATTTTAAACCGCCATTTTTGTATTCCCAAACTTTAACAGCATCATCCAAAGAGCCGGTTATCACGTACTCGTTATTTTCGTCGTCCGTCGAACGCATCGAGTCTCTAATGAAAAAATGAATTAAAATTTAAGTTAAAATTTTTAAAATTTGCAGCTTAAAATTAATAATTTTAGTTAAAATTATTCAAAATTTTAGCATAAAATTATAAATTTAGTTAAAATTATTAAAATTTTCAGCTTAAAATTAATAATGTTTGTCAAAATTATTCAAAATTTGAGCCTAAAATTATGAGTTTAGTTAAAATTATTTATAATTTGAGCCTAAAATTAATTACAATTTTAGCCTAAGATTAATTATAATTTTAGTTTAAATTATTCAATATTTTAGTTTAAATTATTTAAAACTTCAACCTAAAATTAATTATAATTTTAGTTAAAATTATTATTTTCTGCTTAAAATTAATAATTTTAGTTAAAATTATTATTTTCTGCTTAAAATTAATAATTTTAGTTAAAATTATTATTTTCTGCTTAAAATTATATTCAAAATTTTAGCCTAAAATTATAAATTTAGTTCAAATTATTTATAATTTGAGCCTTAAATTTATTACAATTTTAGCCTATAAGTGAATTATAATTTTTGTTAAAATTATTAAAATTTTCAGCTTAAATTTAATAATTGTAGTTAAAATTATTAAAAATTTTAGCCTAAAATTATAATTTTCGCTAAAATTCTTTACCATTTTAGCCTGAAATCTGATTTATCATTTTTTGCAAACTTGATCCTCGTTTTGTTAAAAATAAAATTTTATTTTGAATATTCATATTTAGAATTCTAAATTGGAATGTTATACCTATTAAAATTCTAAAATGCTTTTCTATGACTGACATGAAGCTTTTCGTACTGTATAATTTAGAATTTTTTTTTATTTCTCTTTTCACCTCGAGTCTTCATTGTCGGATTGCAGATCCTTTTTTTTCTTGGGACAACCCCAGGCACAGGTCCAAATACTTTCCTCGTGGGCATTTTCAGTTTTATGCACCATGGAATACTGAAAGATTTATTTAAAAAATTAGTAAATTTCTTAAAAAGTATACTATAATGAAAAGTAATAAATTACTCCTAGTTTTTAAAACTAAAAAATAGTTTTTAAACCATACAAATCAGAAGGTTCAAAAAAATTCCGTTGATTAATAATAAAGGTTCTTTTTCTTTACTAAAAATCAAATATTTATTCTTTTCTTTATAAAAAATAGCCAAAAAAAATTATTTAATTATAAATTTGTCCAAAAGGTGACATAACCTATAAATGAGGGAAAATATTGCACACGGAAGTTGACTGAAATTTTTATCTCTAAATTGATTTCAACAAAGGAAAAATGATCTTTTCGAACAATAATCGAGTTGCATATTATTTAGAGTATTAAACTATAAATAGAAACTAAATTGAAAAATTTCAAGCACCGGGAAATTGTGGTAAAAATAAGGTTATACACTAAAATCTCACCATTGTTTTGTCACTCTTGTCCTCTAAGTTTTAAATTAGATACTGAATTATTAAAATTAAAAAAACCACTCAATAAAACTTGTGATTTTTCAATATAAATAGAAAATTCCCTTTTGTTTACGCGCTTTCTGTCGTTTTTTGTTTTTATTGTACTTGTGCGCGACCATTAAATTCCAGGAATAATAATCCGGAAACATATGACCGGAAGAGCGGGAAAATTTTAAATTCTCATTTTTTTTCTCTTTTCCTATAATACAGAAGATATTAATAATAATTTCATAATTTTATTTTTATTCAATAATTATCGAAAATTGTAAAAAAATACGGGAAAATTTTATTTATCGGAAGAAAAAATAAGTTACCTACTACTTTTCGATTTTTTTTGTCAAACTACGTGTGAAATGCGCATGTCCTTAAGAGGGGACAGAACCACGTCAACCTAGAACTAATAGCAGAAGAGAAAAATACGTCAAAGTATTTTCCTCATTTTGATTCAACTTTTATAAGTAATAGTATAAACTTTTATAATAAAATAAGTAAGTGTATCTTGAAATTGGAATTAATTAATTTACAATAGTGTCATTGTTCTAAAGACGTGGAAGTTGCAAATCCATTGGTGAATGATTTTCAAGTTTTCTTAAAGTGCGTTTTTTTTACATTCAATAATATCACGGGACTTTAATCGTAACAGCAAAAAGAGTGTAAAAGAAAGAAAGAGATAGAGAGAGAGAAAGAGGACATTTTTCTCATCATTTTTTTTAAACATGGATAGCAATAAAGATGAGGCCGAACGTTGTATGGAATACGCGGAAAAATATCTCAGTGAAAAAAAATTCGACGAGGCGGAAAAATTCTTGAAAAAAGCTCAAAAACTCTATCCTACAAAACGTGTTGAAGGTTCGTTGTTGAAAATATTTTCATTATATATATAAATGTATATGTACACTGTGTGTAATAAAAGAATTTGTGGTGGGGGGTAACAAGAAATTAACTATTGTCGATTTTATTTTAAATTTTATTTTATTTTCTATTTTCAAGGGACGATTAATATTCTTTTTTCAGATTTGTTAACCAGAGTGTCGATACTTTCCAAACAGAGTAGTCAAAAACCAGAAAGTGAGCCTGAAGTTCGAAAACGACAGAATGTTACAAAGGAAGGAACACAAACGCAAGCGAACAGTGATTTTACCAAAGATCAAATTGAACATGTTAAAAGGTGAGGTTTTTCTAATATAAAATTAATTGGCGTCTGACTTTCGCATTGGTGCTAGAATTTTGATTTGTGACGAATAAGGGAAAATGATTAATCAGAGTTCAATAGTAATAAAATAATTCGCTGAAATTCAATTATGTTCAAGAATTTGTAAAAAAAAAAAAAATTCTCGTCAAAATGTCAATTTTATCTTTAAAAATAATAAAATTCTTCTCCAAAATTCAATTATTTAAACAAATTTTAATAAAATTCTTGGCAAAATTTAAATTATTTTTCAAAATTTTAATAAAATTCTTGGCAAAAATTAAATTATTTTGAAAAATTTTCCTCAATTCAATGATTTTCAATACCAACTGGATTTTAATAAAATTTTTCAAAAGAATTCGATTATTTATAAAAAATTTTAATAAAATTCTACGCAAACATTTAATTATTTTCATATATTAATAAAAATTTCACAGGAATTCAACTATTTACAAATTTTTTATAAATTTCTTTGCAATAATTTAATTATTTTCATAAATAATAAAACATTTTACAGAGATTAGCTAGAATTCAATTATTTAAAATAATTTAATAAAGTTCTTCGTAAGAATTCAATTATTTTTGAAAATTTTGAATAAAATTCGTTTCAAGAATTCAATTATTTTTCAAAATTTTAATAAAGTTTGTTGCAAGAATTCAATTATTTTTCAAAATTTTAATAAAATTCTTGGCAAAATTTCAATTATTTTCAATGATTTTCCTGAAATTCATGATTTTTAATATTTACTACTATTTTAATGAAATTTTCCAACAGAATTCAATTATTTAAAAAAAATCTTAATAAAACTCTACGCAAACATTTAATTACTTTCGTAAAATAAAAAAAATTTCACAGCAGGAATTCAATTATTTACCAATTTTTTATAAATTTCTTCGCAATTATTTCATTATTTTCATGAATAATAAAATTCTTTTTAGGGATTCAATTTTTTTTTATAAATAATAAAACTCATTGCAAAATTTCAATTATTTTTAATATAATTTTAATCAAATTCCTCGAAATATATAATTATTATTAAAAATTTTATTAAAAGTCGTCAAAAGAATTGAATTTTAAGAAACATTCAATTATTCAATAAATTATTTATTTTTGTATTTAAATAATTGAATTCTCGTAGAATTTTCTAATAAAAATTGATTTAAAAAGGAATTTTAGTTAAAATTTTAGATAATTGAATATTAAAAGCATTAAAGCATGAATTTTTCAAAATAATTGAATTTTGAAAAGGTTTCACATTAAAATGTTTCATACTTTTAACTGACAACTCTGTACAATTTTTTTTGAAAAAATTTAATTGGATTTTTTTTTTTAAATTATTTCAAGTTTTTATTTTCTAAATATTTAATTGAAAAATTTCCGAATATTCAAAATTGAACCCCTTGATGCAAGAACCAGACAAATACCATTGAAATTAAATGGACTGCGTCTGGTTCTTGCATCAAGTGGTTCAATTTTGTAAAATTGAATTGTAAACGAATGGATTTAAAAATTCTTAAGGAATTTTTGCAAAAATTATAAAAAATAATTTTGATAATTGAATTCTTTCGAAGAATTTTAATAAAATTTTTGAAAATAATTAGATTTTTCGGAGAATTTACTTAAAATTGTATTAAAAAGTTATTGAAATCCTGTGAAGAATTTTATTATTTGGGAGAATATTTGAATTCTTGCAGCGAATTTATATTCCATTTCTTTTAAATAATTGAAATCCTGTGAAGAATATTTTATTATTTAGGAGAATAATTTAATTCTTACAACGAATTTTATTACATTTTTTTGGACAATAATTGAATTCTTTTGAGAAATTTTATTAAAATAGTATATTTTGAAAATATTTGGATTTCAGCGAAAAATGTCATAATTTGTAAAAAGTAATTGAATTCTTGAAAAGAATTTTTGAAAATAATTACATTTTTCGAAAAATTTATTTAAAATTGTATTAAAAATAATTGAAATCCTATGGAAAATTTTATTATTTATGAAAATAATTCTGATCATTGCATAATTTTTGATTTATCATTAAACAATCGTTCTAAATTTCCTTTGCGTAAAAAAATAAAATTTTACGTTGTCATTTTTCCCAAAAAAAAATTTCCACTTTTTCAGGAGTTTGAGGTTACGTTACCATATCGATACTAAAAAATAAATTTTCTTTTTTACAGAATTAAAAAATGTAAAGATTATTACGAGATTTTGGGAGTGAGTAAAGAAGCAACTGACGGTGATATTAAAAAGGCCTATAAGAAATTAGCCCTTCAATTACATCCGGATAAAAATAAAGCTCCTGGAGCTGCCGAGGCTTTTAAAGGTTTGCAATTGAGAAATATTTTTAGTTTAATCATTTTTTTCTTGTTTTTCTAGCACAACAATAATCAATTTTTGATAGAGATTGATAAATAAGTAGTTGGAAACTATCAATCGGACCAAGTGTGGCAAAAAAAAAAAGATTGATTCATGTCTACAGAAGAAGAGAAGAAAAAGAAAAGTGGAGGAAGTGGATGAATTTTGTTATTTGGGTTATTGGTTTAAAGAGTTTTCTCATTGGAAAAACTAAAGGAAAACTAACAAAAATTATTTAAGGGATCAAAGTCGATGCGATTTTTGTGTATAAAAATTGTGTCGACTTTGCCATCCTTTTATAAGAATCATTGGAGAAGGAGGATGTGGTTGTTTGATATATTTGGGGGTGGAAGAAGTGAACGAGTTTTGTTATTTGGATTATTGGTTTCAATACAATGGAGAACTGACAAAATGATTTAAAAATCATTGGAGAAGGAGATTGTGGTTGTTTGATATGTTAGTTGGGGTATTGGTTTGAATACAACAAAAAATGGGGCATTTCCACGGGAGCAATTAATTTTTGTCCGTGCGTCAGGTAAAGAAAGTTATTAAAAACGATAATAAATATAAAAAAACGTTATTTAAATATTTAAAATATTAATATAGAGTGTCCAGCGGTTACGGAAGTCAGGAAATTGCAATTCAAAGTTAGGGGAATTTTTGTAAATTTATAAAAAAGTTTTTTGTGAATTTAAAAATTTTATGATCTAACAAGACTTAAATGATTTTTATTGCTATTCGCTACTTTCATTTGATATTCATTTATTATTAAACTAGCTGTCGTACCCGTCTTCGACGGGTTGTAGTTTCTGATAATGCACTTAACAGTGTATCTACCAACCTAGAAAACCGGAAAATAGCCGGGAATTTGATTTGACAGGGAAAAAATAATAATTAGTTACTATTGTCTATTTCATTAGGAAAATAATACCATTTGAAACAGTGACCGACTTTTTATTATCAAATTAGTTATTTTTAACTAATTCAAATGCAGAAAACAATATTTCTCAATTTGTAGTACTTCAATCAATATAATGTATTAAAATAAATCTAAAATTTCCTCCAGTTTTTTGAGTTATAGTACAGTCTAATTCGAACTAATTGTATAGCAAGTAGATCCAGTTTTTCTCGGTTACATTAAATTATTATTATTAAAAAAAACCCGTCCAGTAAACCAGGAAAAATTTGGACAAAGCCGGAAATTGTTTTAAACCAAAATAAACACCGTGTTTAACTTTTGTCTTTACATTGATCAAGATATCTCTAAAAGTTAAATCAGAGAGCCCACAAATACTACTGAATTAAGCTTCTTAGTAATTGGTATCAATTATAATTTTTTCAATTTTTTGATATTCAAAACATTTTTATACTTACATCTTCGTTATAAGAAAGTATTTTTGAAAAATTATGCTAAAATGTGACTAAATAACATGTAATACTCAACTATAGAAAGTTTAGAAGCAATCCATGAAAAAATATAAAATTTAGAAATTATTTGTGTTAAATAAATTCATTTATTAGAGTCAAGTATTTATTTAATTAATCCAATTAAGATTTATTTGATTCAACTAAATAAAATTATTTAAACGAAATAAATTCTTATTAGATCGAAATAAAAACTTTTTAAATAAGATATTATTTTTCAAATAATTATAATTACTTGAATCATATAACTTTTTTTAGTGTAGCTATAGTAAACTAAAAGTTATTAATGTGAACGAACATTATCTATATTAATAAAATCAGATTACTATCTGTACATTGCTTCAAACTTGAAAATTTTTATATATTTTTTCGTTTTGAGACATTAGAATTCTAAAAATGTAAAAAAAATTTCTGTCTGTCTGTCTCTGTCTGTATGCAAAACTTTGTTCGCGCATCAATTGAAAACGGTTCAACCAATTAAAGTGAAATTTGGCAGTCTATTAGGTATTAAAGTAACTTACAATCATAGCCTTATCCGATTAAAAAATATTAACTTGAACAAAAGTTATGCCATTTTTACAAAAAATTCAAAAAAAAAAAAATGCAAATTTTTTATCTTTTGTAAAATGAATGAAAAAACTATCCTTAGCTAACTTTTTCAGATAAATACAACCCATTTCTACGATAAAATTTTTAAAAAAGATGTATTTTGAAATTTTTTTTCGTTTTTTTAGATCAACTTTTTTCTAAGAAAATAGTGATTTTTAATCTTTATGCAAGCTTTTCAAGAAAAGTTATTAAAGTTTTTTATTTAAAGATCAGTATGTAAAGTAAAAAATTTGCTACATTAAACAAAAATAATTAGCTAAATGCCATAAAAAAGAAGGAAAAATGTTGAATTTTAATAAATTCGGTTTTATGAATTTTTGCTAATTTTCCATAATTTTAGATTTTTTACCGAAGGGTGGAGACTATTGAATAAGTAAAGTATTTTTTAAGAGCACACAAATAATAAAGCTAAATGCCATAAAAAGAAGGAAAAATGTTGAATTTTAAGAAATTCATTTTTTTGCATTTTTGCTATTTTTCCATAATTTTAGATTTTTTACCAAAGGGTGGAGATAACAAATTAGGTTAAGTATTTTTGAAGAGCCCAAAAATAATGAAGCCAAAAGCCATAAAAGAGAAGAAAAAATGTTGAATTTTAAGAAATTCCGTTTTTTGAATTTTTGCTAATTTTCCATAATTTTAGATTTTTTACCAAAGGGTGGAGACTATTAAATATAAGTAAAGTATTTTTGAAGAGTACAAAAATAATGAAGCTTAATGATATAAAAGAGAAGAAAAAAATGTTAAATTTTAAGAAATTCGGTTTCTCGAATTTTTGATAATTTTTGATTTTTTGCTAAAGGGTGGAGACTATTCAAATAGTATAATTATACTACCGAAATAGCTAATGGTAACTAATTATTAATTAATTAATTATTAACTAATTATTAATTATTATTAATTAACTAATTATTAATTATTAATTATTAATTATTAATTATTAATTATTAATTATTAATTATTAATTATTAATTAATTTATCCCGGGTATTTTTGATTTTCCAGATTGGTAGAAACATTGTTAAATGTATTGGTAGAAACTAAAACCCGTCGAAGACGGGTACGACATGACAGCTAGTGCTATATATTTTCAAAATTTTTAAAATTCAAAATTTATCTTTTGAAATAATTATTGTCATTAATTTTACTTAAATTTTATACAGGGTTAATTTTAGTATTTTTTATTACAATTTAGTCATCAGAATGAAATTTGAGTTTTTCATTTTTTGATCATTAATTAATAAAATATAATAGCAATTTTGAATTCTGTGCAACATACTGACAAAAGTCTCATATTAATTATATGGATATTGTTAATATTCTGACCTAATAGAATTCTTTTAAGAAAGTAAACTTATGATTTCAACAACAAATTTTTATTGTTGACCTAAGAAATACAACCGTATAAAAATTAATTACAAAAAAATTTCAATTTTTAAACTTTTTAATTTTTCAATATTTAAATCTAACACTTTTTATTTGTTATTCAAAATTTTATTATTCTGACGATTAAATCTTCATAAGAAACACTAAAATTAACCCTGTACCAAGTTTAAGTACAATTCACTAAAGTATATGAAAAAACTAAAAATTTCGAATTTTCGAATTTTTGAAAAAATGGCATAACTTTCGTCCATATTAATATTTTTTAATCTACTATCTCTAGGATTTTAAGTTAGGCTAATGCCTAAAAGACTGCCAAGTTTCACTTCAAACGATCGAACCGTTTTTCCGTGATACGCGGTCGAAAATTTGCGGACATACATACACACATACACACATACACACATACACACATATACACATACACACATAATTTTCTTAATAGTATTTTCGCATTCGTTAGAGTGTAAAAAAAAGGAATATAATAGAAATTTTGAATTTTATGCAATGTACAGACAAAAGTCTGATTTTATTAATAAGGATCATATTTTTGTCCCAAGAAAACAAATAAGTTTTGGTAGAAAATTAAGAACTAAATTGGAAATTTCATGCCTCTTTTCAAAAATAATTTTGCTTTTTTAATTAGAAAGATACAAAATTTAATCGCACGGACAGAATGTTTGCTTTTTCGTGGAAATATCCAAAAATTTACACATCCAACTTGGACTGATTTATTTTTTTTCAACTACTTATTTTAGTACTTTAAAAAAAAAAAATAATGTTTAGTCAATTTTTTATTCTCTTTAAACAAACAACACAGTTTTGTGTACTTTTTTTTTCTTCTTTCTGTAATAGCCATTGGAAATGCTGTTGCTGTATTGACGGACGTGGAAAAACGGAAACAATATGATTTGTACGGTTCGGACGAAGACAGAATGCAGAGTTCACATTCTCATCAGACTCATTATAATTACTCCCGAGGATTTGAAAGTAAATATTCAGAATTATTATTTTTTTTATTATTAATAATTTTAACTATCGGATTTTAAAAACAATTTTGCATTTTACAGCCGACATTACTGCCGAGGAACTGTTCAACATGTTCTTCAGGGATGTTTTTCCACAGCAGGAATTTTATATGCGAAGATCAGGTGGCAGATGGACGAGACAGTCAGATTCACAAAATCAACACTCTCATTCTCAGGTAAAATTAAACAAACATAATTTTTAACAAAATAATTTTATTCAAATACTTTTATTTTTCTATATTCTATATTTTTTAGCAACCACATGGATACACAACATTCCTTCAGATGTTACCTGTACTTTTATTGATAGTTTTAACAATGATGAGCAGTTTTTTCATATCTGATCCAATATACAGTTTGCATTCTAGCCCGTAAGTAATGTTTCTAAAAAAAGAAAAATTCCCGCACGCATCACCTTTAAATTTAAATTTTTATTTTATTACAAAGTTTTTTCTTCCAGTAAATATACAGTTCCTAGGACAACACAAAATCTAAAAGTGTCGTACTATGTGAAAGAAAATTTCCACAGTGAGTATCAGGGCAGTTTGCGACGATTAGAGATTTCAGTCGAAGAAGATTATTTGAGTCAATTGAGACAAACGTGTTTCAGGGAAAAGAATTATCGTGAGTATTCTTTTTAATTTTAAAATATATTTCCAAAATATATTAAAAATATTATTCTATAAAAGTAATATAATTTCAAATTTAATTTTAGGTGAATCAATGGTATGGAAAGCGAGAAATTTTGGTGATAATGATCTTTATCAACGGGCAAGAAATATGGAGATGCCATCATGTAAACGATTACAAGAAATGCAAGCATGATGGCATTTATTTAATTATTAAATTATACAGTTTTTTGATGTATTGTAGATAGGTATATATATGTTTTATTTGCGCGCATTTCAATTAATGAAAAAAAGTCACCAATTTAAAATTTTACTTACTTTTTAAAAGAGTGAGTTGAGAGAATAAGAGATAATTAATTTTTTTTTCTCTTTGAAATTAGACGTGCTATAAAAAAAAACTTCTTTAAACAGTACATCGCTTTACATTGTGTTTAATAGTTATAATTATATATATTTATTAATGAAAAATAATTGCCTTTAACTAATTTTAATTAATTGAACAGATAGTCGTAAGAGTCACAAAGGTTCTTTAATAATACCTTTCGAAAAAAAAACTAGACATAATTACATAAATAAAAAAGTATAAATGCATAAAATAATAGATTTTTCATTTGAAAATTTTAATAAAATAGAAATATTTCGAAATGAAAGAAAAAAAAACCGATTTTCAGTTAATGAGAACCAGAAGAGTGCAGAGATTCCTCAAAAAAAAATATAGAGAGAAAAAATAGAAAAATGTCGAACAATTTTATTATTTATTGTAACTTTTTTGTTTCTCTTTATTTTAATGTTGTATATTTAATATATTATAAATATTGTCGAGATTTGTTTCTTCGGTTGTAAAATAAGAAAAAGCATAATTTAATCTGTAAATTATCGATATAAAAATGTTTGTATACAACTTTTAAAAATATTGCGAAACCACATTTTCCATTTGGTTATAAATTGTTTATTATAATTGTACCAAAAAAAAAAGAAAAAAATAAAGAATTTAAGTCAGTTAATATTATTTTTTTCATATTTTGTCAAGAGTATGATGAATGCGGAGCAAGTTTTCAAAATCTGATAAATCCATATTTTCTTATTTCGAGAAATTGAAACAAATGACTAATTAACTACTGTTAATTTTAAGATACAAAATTCGTAATAATTTACTTCTCTAACAATAACTTTATATATTAAAGATATTCTGTTTTTTATCAAACTATCAATATTGAGTGATTTTAAGTTTTTGGTAACTTTTTTCTAATGAAAAATATAATTTTGCTTGTTATGCCGAAGTTTTTAAATTTTAAATTCATTGTTAATAAATTCTTTTTCTTAAATTTAACAATGTCAGATCGATTTTTAAATTCACAAATATTATCGACATTATTTTTAAAAATTGATTTATCAGCTTTTGAAAACTTGCTCTTCAAATATATGAAGAGGACCTTTTAAACATCGAAAGAAACATTTTGTTCTGAAGTTGAGGTTATTTATTGGTAAAATATTTTTATTTTCATGTTTTTATATTCTTTTTATTTTCATTTTACATTACACTCAATAGTATTTTTGTATTTTTAATATTTGGTACTAATTATTTTCTATTATTTATTGTTTTTTAAATTATTCTATTTCACATCTTTTTTTTGTCCTTGATTCAAGGCAATAATCATTGACCGTTACATTTAATTTTCTCGGAAAGTCGAAAATGCACAAACGCACGACACGAATATCGACGAAGTCACACGAAAATGAACGAAAGAGGAACATTTCGTAGAAAATTGAAAAAAGAAAAGTGATAACTAACCACGTGGTGTGTTTAAAGATACATGTAAGTTTGATAATAATGAATGAAATAGCAGAAATAAATCTGTCTTCCATTTAATTTCAAACTAAATTATAGATCATTAACAACCCTATATTCAAGTTCTCAAAACGAAAAAAAAATTGAATCTACACTAAGATTTTAATATATCAAAAATATAAACAATAATATAGTGCAAATATAAAAAATATTTCATCATTTTGATAAATTTTGAATGTGCCTTAATTGCACAATATGTAACCCTGTATGTAACTAAATAATAATTAAACAAAAGGAATAATGATTAAACGAAGTAAAAATCTAATTTTCTGTCATACACGTAAACGTCCTTGAATCGTTTTGTTAAATAAGTTTTTATTTATTAATTACTGTGTACATTAAAACGGACATTATCCTCGGAAAGAAAGAAGAAACAAATAAATTTTACATTCCTGGGGAATGTGAAACAGTGTTATGGAAAATTTCTAATTTAAAAAATTGCTAAAACATCGGCGTTTTTCGAGGTTATGTTGAAACTTAACCTTCGAGTTTTGACTTGTGTGTATAATTAAGGTTTTTAAGGAATTTACATACATTACTGTAACAAAAAATTAAAAATATCAAAATGGAAAAAGATACCGTGGAAATTGATCTTGATGATCCTAGATTTCGAATTAAACCTTATCAACAAATGATTGCTTCCTGTACCGGAGCCTTATTCACATCCATGATTGGTAATTATTTTTCAGTGTTTTTTTAAATTTAATGTAAAAGTTTTTTTTTAAAGAACTGAACATAAATATTTGAGAACATAATATAATATAGTTTTTAATATTAATTTCTTAATTGAATAAATTATTTTCTCGATTTTTGGAAGATATTTTAAAGGTGAAAGGAAATAATAATTTTTTTTATTGCTTCATTTACCAATATTTTGAAATGTTTTTAAATTTTCAGTGACTCCATTAGACGTAGTGAAAATTCGATTACAAGCCCAGCAGAAGGCAATGCTCTCGAATAAATGCTTCCTCTATTGTAATGGTTTAATGGATCATTTGTGTTCCTGTGGCAATGGAAAGGGACCCGAATGGCTCAGAGCAAATGGCAAATTTAATGGCACTCTGGTGAGTGAAGGCGTATACAATTGTTTTTGTTTTTTTAAATACTATTCGTGAATTTAATTCTAATTTTTTTTGTCTCCAGGACGCTCTATTTAAAATTGGAAAAAAAGAAGGGATTATGTCCCTTTGGAGTGGTTTGAGTCCAACTTTAGTCTTAGCAATTCCAGCTACAATCATGTACTTTGTCTCTTATGAACAATTGAGAATATCACTGAAGGTACTTTTTTAATTCTTACCGTTAGCGTCTAAATTCCAATTGTCGCCTTTTCTTCTTTAGGGAGCTAAAATAATTTTTTAATTAACCCATAGTCCAAGGCTCAAAAAAGTTCCGTAAATCCCGTAAAGGTCCTTGTAATTGAGAATTAAATTTTACAGGATTATCATAATAGGAAATTTAACAATGATAAACTTCATCAAGAGCAACCGTTTTGGATTCCAATATTGGCCGGTGGTACAGCGAGAGTTTTTGCTGCAACTCTAGTGAGTCCGCTTGAGCTTATTAGAACAAAAATGCAATCTCAAAGACTAAGTCACGCTGGTAAGGTGTTAATGAATTCAATTTCTTTTTTTGCCAGGAATTTTTGGTTTTATTAGATTTAAATTTGTATTTTTAATTTTCAGAATTAAGACAAGCCCTGAAGACGGTTGTAAAATATAGTGGAGTCTCTGGTTTGTGGATGGGTCTCAGTTCAACGCTACTTCGCGATGTACCTTTTAGCGCAATTTATTGGTTTAATTACGAAACATTAAAGAAGACATTTTCCAATCTTCAGCACACATTTACCTTCAATTTGATTGCTGGCGCTGCCGCTGGTTCCGTAAGTAGTAATGTCTAATTCTCTATAAATTATAAATCATAAAAACAACTTTTTAGTTAATTTAATTCAAATTTACTGAAATTAAAGAAAATAATAACAATAATATTAATAATAATAGTAGCAGGGCTCGAACTAAGTCCGTAAATAACATAAAAGTCCATAAATTTGTTTAAAGTCCGTAAAAGTCTGTTTTTTTTTAAAAAAAGGTCCGTAAAGTCCGTAATTTGATTGAAAAAGCAATAAAAGTTCGTAAATTTTACGATATAATTTGGAGAATTTTTGAAACGTTCCAAATAATTGCAAAAATTCAATTATTTTCAAAAATAATAAAATTCTTTGCAAAAATTCAATCATGGTAAAAAGTTTTTTAAAATTCTCACCAAATTTTCAATTATCTTTATAAATAATAAAACTCTTCTCCGAAATTCAATTATTATCAAAAATTTTAATAAAATTCTTCCCAAAAATTCAATTATTTCTAATACAATTTTAATAACATTTCATGAAAGAATATTCGATTTTTAAAAACATTTTTAATAACATTTTTCGAAATAATTCAATTATTTTCTAAAATTTTAATAAATCCTTCGAAACAATTCAATTATTTTTAGCAGTAGTAAAATTCATCGTAAGAATTCAATTATTTTTCATAATTAATAAAATTTTTTTTAGGAAGTCAATTATTTTCAATACAATCATTAAAAAAATTCGATTGTATTTAATAAATTAAAGAAATTTTTCGAAAGAATTCAATTATTTTCTAAAAATTTAAATAAAATTCAAGAATTAAATGTTTAATTTTAATTCTTAAAAAACACGATTATTGTAAAAATTTGAAAGAAATTGTAAATATATAAAATTCAATTACTTTGAAAATTTTCAATTAAAATTATTAAAGAAACTCAATTATTTTAAAGAAATTTTAAGAATAATTCTTTAAAAGAATTTAATTAGGATTATGAAAAATTTTAATAAAATTATTCTTTCCCGAAAATTCAATTATTTCCATAAATAATAAAATTCCAGAAGAAATTAAAATATTATCAAATTTTTTGACAAAAATCTTTGAATAAAATCAATGATTTGCAAATTTTTTATAAATTTTTTCGCAACAATTCAATTATTTTCATAAATAGTATAAAATTTTTACAGCGATTTAATAATTTTCGTAAATAATAAAATTTCTGTTTAGGAATTCAATTATTTCTCGTAAATAATAAAATTTTCACAGGAATTTAATTATTTTCAAACAAACACAATTTTCATAAAATTTTTCGAAAAAAATCGATTATTTAAAATGATTTTTAAAAAATTCTTCGTATTAATTCAATTATTATTATTATTTAATTATTATTTTTAAAAAATTTCATAAAATTCTTGAGAAAATTTCAATTATTTTCATAAATAATAAAACTCATTGGCAGATATTCAATTATTTTTAATACAATTTTAATTAAATTCCTCGAAAAATTTAATTATTCTTAAAAATTTGTTAATAAAATTCTTTGAGAATTCAATTTAAAGAAATATTCAATTATTCAATAAGTTATTAATTTTTGTATTTAAATAATTGAATTCTCGTTGAATTTTCTAATAAAAATCGATTTAAAAATTAATTTCAGTTATATTTTTAGATAATAATTGAATATTAAAAGCAATATAGCCTAGAATTTTTAGAAATAATTGAATTCTGAAAAGGTTTAAAATTAAAATCTTTAAAAATTTAAATTTTAACTAAAAATTCTGTAAAATTAATTTTTTTTCAAAAGGTTTAATTGAATTTTTTTTGAAATTTTTTGAAGTTGTTTTTTAATATGTATATATTTAAATGAAGAATTTTCGAATAATTGAAAGTTCGTAAAATTGAATTGTAAACAAATGGATTCTTGAAAATTGTCAAAGAACTTTTTCGAAAAATATTAAAAATAATTGATTTAAAGAAGAATGTTAGTTTAAAATTCTTGAAGATCCGTAATTTTTTATTTTTGGTTCGTAAAGTCCGTATTTTTAAATACTTTTACTGGTTCAAGTCCTGTAGTGTAGTATAGTAGTAGTAGTGATAAATTAAATATTGAGAGAAATTCTAAAAAATTGCGTTTAAATTGCAGGTGGCCGCTTTGTGTACTATTCCATTCGACGTAGTGAAAACTCACAGACAAATTGAAATGGGAGAGAAGGAAATTTACTCTGGTTTGTATATTTAAGTAAAAATAATAATAATAATTAATAATAAATAATTAGAAATAAATAATTAATAATAAAATAATAAATTTTGTCAAGCAGACAAACCTGGACGAACGAGCAGTACAATATCGATAATTAGGAGGATATACGATCAAAATGGAGTTCGTGGCCTTTATACGGGACTCGCGCCACGCTTAATAAAAGTTGCACCAGCTTGCGCAATTATGATCGCCACATTTGAACAAGGTAAACGCTTTTTTCAGGAACGTAATGCTAACGAAATGTTAGGTTTAGAAACAAATGTCCACTCCTACAGATATAAGCACAATAATACGTAGGAATTAGTGAGATTTTGTGCCTAGTGCACTTGAATATTTTTATTGTAAATACAGATGTTAAATATACCTCAAGAATAAAAATCATTTTTCAATTTCTCATTGCAGTTCTATATTTCCTAACAGGACTCTTTTAAAATGAGTATATTCGCATTATTATAAAGAAAAATTAATAAACTTTAATGTCCATAAAGTTTGTTTCAGGAAAATTGAAAAAAACGACGATAAAAAAATACAGTCACAATTTGCCTACAAAAAAGGTGATTGTAAAAGAAGTACAGATTTTGATCTGCTAAATTGAAAATTTTTTGGATGAAATTGAAAGTGAAAATTTTTTTGGTGAAATTGAAAGTGAAAATTTTTTGGGTGAAATTGAAAATGAAAATTATTTGAGTGACGTTCGTTATACATTCGATTTGACGTGAAAAATCTCAATAAGAAAGCATAAAATGTTGAGATAAACTATTAAAAATAATAATTGGAGTATTAAAAAGTTAATATATCCAATAATTATGTTCAGAGAAATCAGGGAAAAGTCAGGGATTTTTATTAAAAGTACTGGAAAAAATTAAATGTTTAGAATTTCTAAGAAAATTCTGAATATAAAAGAAAATTAAATTCTAAATGAAAAATCTAACTTTTTTCCATTGAGAAAAATAAAAACTAAATAAATTTTCTACAAATATTAAAAAATAAAATTTGAGGTCAATGTAGTGTAAATTCCCCCAAGAGGAAAAAACAATTTAAATTGAAAATCTGATTTATCATTTATTGCGCAAATAATAATGTGTCTGGGAATTTTTGATTTAACTAGAAAATATTTCTTTAACAATAATTATGTTTAAAAATATCTATATAGCACTTTTCCTTTTAATCAGGAAGTAAAAGATAAACAATTAATCATTCACACTATAATCAATCTATATCAAAAGACGTGACTTTTTACTCGTGCCTCTTATCAAAATTGACATTTGTCAATTTTTGAAAAAGATTAACAAAAAAAAAGTTTTTTTTCTCTATAATTATTAAACAAATTAGTAATAATAAAATAATCGAAATGTACAAATAATAATGTTTCTTAAAATAAATTCTTAATAAATTGCGTGAAGAAAGAAGAAGAAAACTAATATTTTAGTAAATAACAAATCAATTTATGTTAATTTTTTGTTTATATTCTTTATCTTATCGGGTTAATTTTTTGTTATCAATGACATTGCTCTCGGGGTATATAAATATATACATATATAACAGTAATTTCAGTTTTATAGTGAAAGTTTACTAGTCGGGTCAGTTTATAAATTTTTTTTTTCGAATTTGGAAAAGAAAAATGAATCTCATCTCAATTGAGGAAGTTCGGAAAAATAATGGACAGAATGGTTCAAAAATTTGGGTTGTTCTTCATAAAAATGTCTACGATTTGACTCAATATATAAAAGAAGTGTGTAAAAAAATTTTTTTCTTTTAAGATTTTTAACCTATTAATAGCAGAATTATTTTAAAAATTAAATTAAATTTCGAAAAGTAGTAAAATTAAATTTTACAAAAACTGTATTTCTTAAGAAGTAAAAAAAATATTAAAATTATTTTTTTTAAATTGTACTAAAATTAAACTGAAAGGAAATTAATGTTAAATTTAAAAAAAATTAAAATATATATATAAAAAAAAAAAATTAGTTAATTTTTGGTGATTATGTTTATAGCATCCTGGAGGTGATGAATTAATTATGGAATTTGCGGGTAAGGACGGGACAAAGGGTTTTAATGATTTTGGTCATACTTCGGATGCCAGAACGTACATGAAAAAATTTAAAATCGGGGAATTAGCGGAGGTATTAAAGTGTAGAAAAACTGCTTTTTTAAAATTTTTGACTATTTTAAAAAATTATTCTTGTTTAATTAATTCATTAACAAAATCAATTTCTGCAGTTTAGATTTTTTTTAATTTAATGATTTTTAATGTGAAGTGCATTTTTCGTAATTTTAACTTTCTAGTTTTCAATATTAAAAAAATTTCTTTATTTTTATTATTTTAAGAAGTAAATTTTGACTATCAACTAATAAAATGATTAAATGATCTAGGATTGTTGTAAACAGAGTAAAAAATCGAGTAAAACAGAAGAAATAACAAGAAATAACGCAGAGAGAAATCGAAGGTAAATATATAAAAAATTTCTTGTATAGTAAGAATAATTCTAAAAAAAGGAATCTTCATTGTAACAATATTTTTTTCAGGTCAATCTTAACGAAACTTTGGCTGTGTTCATAAATAAATTTATTTATTAAAATAAATTTTATTTATTTTAACGTTTTTAAGAAATAGAAATATTTATTGTCATCGTCAGGAACGAGGGAAATTCTTTTTCGGGAGTTTAAAAACCAAGTGATTTTTCTGAGAAAGGAACTTTATCGAAACTATAGACACTATTTATTTTAATTTAGTGCTTAAGGACTGTTTATAAATATAGTTTTATGTATTTTAATAAAATAATTATTTACCAAAAACTATTATTTAAAAAATAATCCCTAAATCCGTAAAAAAAAAGAGTCGGAAATACTATTTTAATAGGAAAAATTCGCTAAATATAAAATTTAGCGAATTTGGAAATAAAATACTTGGAAGAGTTAAAATATTTTTATTTTCCGTATTATTGATGAAATTATAATAGAATAATGATAGTGATATTTGAAAATACAAATGAGGAAAATGTAATTTGAAAGAAGTTTTTTAAATCCATCCGCCCATAATTTGTCCCGTGGCTTTTGATTTACCGCGAAGTTTCGTTGTATTCATGTCGTCGGCTCTTGGACGATTGACTTCGGTTTTTGGCGGTTCTTTCTTCTTTTCTTCATCTTTCTTCTTCTCTTCCTCTTTCTTCTTATCGTCCTTGCCTTCATCTTTCTTCTTTTCGTCCTTACCTTCTTCTTTCTTCACTCCATCCTTCTCGTCCTCTTTCTTCATTGCCTCTTCCTCACGTTTTTTCTTCTCCTCGGGGGTTTCATCCTTCATGGTGGACATTTGCCTAGAAGTCGATGGCTTTCCACTGTCTTGTTCCCGTGGATCCTCAGGTATTGGCGATGGTGTTCGTGGTTCGCCCTCAGGCATTTCGAGCGATGCCTTTGACGCTGATTTCATTATTCCAACCATACTGGGACCTTTTGATATACCTTTCTTCACTGAACCGGTTGGAGTCGTTTGCCTCATTGCGTCCACTATTGATACCTTACTCCTTTGGGTGACTAATCTCCTCTTACCTCCACCACCTTCTCCACCCTCTTCTGCAAAAATAATATAAATACCCTTCTGTAAGTTCTGTAATTTTAAACCTCTCATGAGAGGTAAAATAATTTTCCATATTTTAAAATTGAATTAGAAGACTAACCTTCATCACCGGCGTCGAAACTACCGCCCTCCTTTTTCGGTATTCGACTCAAGATAAATTTAGCGTAAGCAACACGTGTTGCAGGTGAGACTTCGGATAGATTTGGATTATATTCCAGTAGACGATCAGGATCAAGTGAAGCTAAATCTGAATTCGGATGATGTGCAAGGTGGCGTTTTAAACTTCGTCTGGTTTGTTTTACCATTAATTCCGATCTACTGCCAATTGGATCGCGAACAATGACACTGTGTCGCACAGCAGCATTCCAATCTTTCTTACTACCACCGCTACTACGTCGTCCAATTGCCTTTGCAATTTGACTAAACACATCTTTCGGTTGACTCTGACTCTGAATCACTTGATTCACCAAACCCTCGACAAATCCAATCTGGAAGTCCTTTTGTAGTCTGCGCTCCATCACTCGACCCTTCTTTCCAGAAACTGAAAAATTTTTTCTTATTAAACAGCGAGTATTTGGTGTATTTTATTTTTATCGTATTTTTCATTGTGGACTCAACCCAGGGCTCGAACTAGGTTCGTAAATCCGGTAAAGGTCCATTAATTTGCTTCAAGTCAGTAGAAGTCAATTTTTTTAAAAAAAAAGGTCCGTAAAGTCCGTAATTTGATTGAGAAAGCAAGAAAAGTTGGTAAATTGTACAATATTATTTGAAGAATTTTTGAGAAGTTACAAATAATTGCAGAAATTCAATTATTTTCAAAAATAACAAAATTCTTAGAAGAAATTCAATTATGTTCACAAATTTTTTTAAAATGACACGAGAAAATTTCAATTATCTTTATAAATAATAAAATTCTTCTCCAAAATTCAATTATTATCAAAAGCAATCAAATTTTTAATAAAATTCTTAGCAAAATTTCAATTATCAAAAATTATGTCCAATTCAATGATTTTCAATAATATCTATACTATTTTCATAAAATTTTCCAAAAGAATTCAATTATTTAAAATAAATTTTGATATAATTCTACGCAAACATTGAATTATTTTCATAAAATAATAAAAAAATTTTACAAGACTTCAATTATTTACAAATTTTTTTATAAATTTCTTTGCAATAATTCAAATAATATAACATTTTTACAGAAATTCAAATATTTTCGTAAAAAATAAAATTCTTTTTAGAAATTCAATTATTTTCGCATAAATAATAAAATTTTCACAGGAATTTAGTTATTTTAAAACACCATTTTCATAAAATTTTGCAAAAAGAAAACAATTATTTAAAATGATTTTTATCAAATTTTTCGCTAGAATTTAATTATTTAAAAACAAATGTAATAAAGTTCTTCGTAAAAATTCAATTATTTTACAAAATTTTAATAAAATTTTTGTCAAATTTCAATTATTTTCAAAAAATTTCGATGAATTTCTTTGCAATACTTCAATTATTTTCAAAAATAATATAACATTTTTACGCAGGGATTGAATTATTTTCGTACCTAAATAATAAAATTCTTTTGAGAAATTCAAATATTTTCATAAATAAAAAAAATTTCACAGAAATATATAATTATTTTAAAACACAATTTTTATAAAATTCGAAAAAAATCAATTATTTAAAATGATTTTTTATAAAACTCTTCGCTAGAATTAAATTATTTAAAAAAAAAATGTAATAAAGTTCTTCGTAAGAATTCAATAATTTTACAAAATTTTTGTCAAAATTTCAATTATTTAAAAAATTGTTAGTAAAGTTCGTTGCAAGAATTCAATTATTTTTAAAATTTTAATAAAGTTAAATAATAAATAATAATAAAGATAAAATAATAATAATAAATTTAAATAAATTTCGTTGCAAGAATTCAATTATTTTTCAAAATTGTAAAAAAGTTCGTTACAAGAATTCAATTATTTTTCAAAAATTTGAATAAAATTCTTGTCAAAGTTTCAATTATTTTCAAAAATTTTCCTGAATTTAATCATTTTTAATATCTACTGTTTTAATGAAATTTTTCAACAGAATTCAATTATTTAAAAATTTTTAATAGAATTTTACCCAAACATTTAATTACTTTCATAAAATAATAAAAATTTTACAGGAATTTCATTATTTATAAATTTTTTAAAAATTTGAATTAATTTCATAAATAATGAAATTTTAAGAAACATTCAAGATAAAAAATTATTTATTTTTGCATTTAAATAATTGAATTCTCGTAGAATTTTCTAATAAAAATTGATTTAAAAATGAATTTTAGTTGAAATTTTAGATAATAATATTGAATATTAGAAAAATAATATAATGAATGAATTTTTAGAAATAATTGAATTTTGAAAAGGTTTCAAATTAAAATCTTTAAAAATTTGAATTTTTCATACTTTTAACTACTAACAATTCTGTAGAATTAATTTTTTTTTAAAAAGTTTAATTGAATTTTTTTTTTTAAATTATTTCAAGTTTTTATTTTCTAAATAATTAATTGAAGAATTTTCAAATAATCGAAATTTCGTAAAATTGAATTGTAAAAATTCAATTTTAAAATTCAACTTTTTAAAATTTAACTTTAAAATTCAACTTTTTTGAAAGACAAAAAACTTTTGAAGAAGTTACAGTAATTTTTCGATGAAATGAAATTTTGTAAAAATTTTATTAATAATTCTAGAATATAATAATTGAAAGGAAATAATTTTGAGGAAGTTACAGTAACAATATTCTTATAATATAAAATAATGATTTTATCACTGGGCCATCTTTAATTATTATAAAACATGAAGAAATTTAATTTATAGTTTTAAGTAAAATGTTCTCTTATTTGACTCAAATTGGTTATATTTTTGTAAATGGTAATTGATCCGTAAATGGTTTATAATTTTTCATTTTTGGTCCGTAAAGTCCGTATGTTTAAATACTTTCACTGGTTCGAGTTGCCAAATGTGACATTTTTTTATTTTTTTGTCAACTGCACATCCTTGCTGAGAACTACTACTAAAAATACTTTTCAATTATTATACCTTCTGTCTTATCGGTTTTTGGTGTTTGCATTCCATTTAGACGAAGAATATCAATTAATTCATAGCGTAATGTTGAAATATCTTGACGAATTTCAATGACATCGTCTTCTGTTATTCCAAAATCATCTCGTTTTGTTTGCTCAGCGGTAACGTAACGACGAATTAATAATTTCATTACAACATCATGTCTCTCTTTTGCCTTTTCTCTTGATTTTTTCTAAAGAAAAAATAAAATTGGGTTAATTTCAATAAATAAAATAAGAAACCGGGATAGCTTCATATTTATTTTGTTATTTTCTTTATGAAAAGCGTTTGACTAGTTTAATCCCTCTATATCAACTAAAGTATCGATTACGCACCTATTTTTGATAAAAACAGAAAAAAAACAATGATAAATTTCGTGATTTGTGTTAATTGATAAAATTCTCAATTGTAATTAAGAAATTATTTTTATATCTTTATTATACAATAATAAATCAATGCATTATATTTAAAAATAATGAATCCATCGCGATTGGGATGAAAATAAATTCTTACGATTATTGATTTCGTTGGTCGTCCAGTGTTACCGCATTTGATAATCTTATTAAATGTCTTTGTCGTTGGAACCATATTGAATGGAGGTGGTACCGTATCTCCATCTTCAAAATAGCTCATCCACAAGTGACTTCTCGCAAATTTCCATTCAGTATCGGCTCTTTCCTGTAAATTTTATATAAATTATTTAAAATTTTTTCTTTATTTAAAATAAACTTTCTAAACCAGAGAAGCAAAATTTGTTCTTTTAAGGCCAGGGCTCGAACCAGTGAAACTATTTAAAAATATACGGACTTTACGGACCAAAAATGAAAAATTAGAGACCATTTACAATTACTGACAAAAATATAATAAATAAGAGAACATTTTACTTGAAACTATATAAATTAAATTTTTTTTGACCGAGAGATAAAATCATTATTTTATATCATAAGAATATTGTTACTGCAATTTTTTCAAAATTATTTTCATCATTTCAATTCAAAATATTATTTTCTAGAAGTTTTAACTAAAATTCTTCTTCAAATCAATTATTTTGAATAATTTTCGAAAAAGTTCTTTGACAATAATTTTCAAATCCATTATTATATTTACAATATTCAATTTTACGAAATTTCAATTATATTCGTAAATTTCTTAAAATTCAATTCTCATAAAGAATTTTATCAACAAATTTTTAAGTAATTAAATTCTGTGGACGAAATTTAATAAAATTTTTAAGAATAATTACATTTTTCGAGGAATTCGATTAAAATTGAATTACAAATAATTGAAATTTTGCGATGATATTTATGAAAATAATTGAATTCCTAAAAAAGAATTTTATTGAATTCCCGAAAATAATTAAATTTCCTGTGTTACGGACCAAATATTATTTCTGAAAAAATTAAATGGTTTGATTAGAATTTTACTGAAAAACTTTTTTAAATAATTTAATTTTTAGGAAGATTTTATTAAAATATTAGATATTAAAAAACATTGAATTGAAAAAAATTTTTGAAAAAATAATTGAAATTTTGCTAAGAATTTTATTAAAATTGTTAAAAATATTTGAATTTCAGAGAATAATTTTATTATTTATAAAGATAATTGAAATTTTTTCGAGAATTTTAAAAAATTTTGAAAATAATTGAATTTCTACAATTATTTGTAATTTTTTTTTAAATTCTCCATATTATATCGTACGAGATTCACGGACCTAGTTCGAGCCCTGTTTAAAGTCAAAAAACAATTATTTTTATCATAGAAAAGTGATGGAATTTTTTTTGCAAACAAAAAATGGTACCGAAATTATTTGATAGGAATTTGACATCATAGCGATAAGCATATTCAGGAGGACGATGATATTGATCACAGAATATGAACCAAACATTAAAAGGGCCCAGAAACGAGTGAAACTCTTGATGCCAGTGAGATCAAAGGACATTAGGTCAACCATTCCGAAACTAGCCCAAAATAACGATTGTGAGGTCTCGAAAAGACTGGAAAAAAATTTATTTTAATTAATTAACATAAAGATATAAATTTAATTGAATATATTAATTATTTAATTAAAAGTACTATAACATTATTAATTTAAGAATTTCATGCTTTTTTTCACTTACTTGGCAAATCTCCTCCATGTTGCACAAGCTTTTTCCTGATTATCAAAGTCTGGTATGTCGTTGTGTGCATGATAACATTTCATCTTTTCCAGATCCGCATAGTACCACATGAGCTGATTCATTCCTATAAGAATTTTATCTTGAAACACCTCTTAATGTTCAGGCCTCGGATATTATGACTTTTTCGACTTTTTTCGACTAAAATTGAATTATTTTCGAAAAAAAACATTACAATATTTATAAAAAACTAATTGTTATAATTTTTTATCATAATTTTTTAAGGCTTAATTACCTTCGAACAAAGTAAGTTAACATTTTTTTAAAGTTTCCTGTTTTTAGATCTTATTAGAATTTCAGAGAATAAAATAAAAATACGAAATCAGCTTATGAAAGAAAATTACTTCCTTCCGCGAGGATATTTATATATTTGTACACAAGCATAAATAAACAGTTAATTGAGAGAAAAACCGGAAGAAATTTTCTGTCGAAATAAATTAATTTGTACATGTCAGCTAAAATAATCCATATTAGAAAAAAATTTATCTTCCACTGCGGACAAATTAATTATCTGCTCCCTTTCTTTTTGTTTTACTTTGTCGCCTATAATATACACAAGATTGCCAAAATTTACTCTCGAAAAAATAATATATATATAAAGAAATAAAATTCTGTAACAGTCGAAAAAAATTATTTTCATTTTATTTATAAACTAAAGTACCGAATAAGCTAGTATCTTATTTTTTTTTTAAATGTGTTAAAAACTAATGTAAATTTAGATCTTTTTTTAAAAAACAATTAATTAAAAACTGGTTTCAACAAAAATTAAAAAAATACCAAAAAACTTTTTTTAAATTGAAAAAAAAGTAAAATAAAAATTTTAAATATTGAAAAATTTTTTAAAAATCTTAAAAATTTTAAATTTGCACCTATTTAAATTGCAGGCTTCGGATCGACTTTAAGGCGCAAAAAAAAGTCGCTTTAGTTGATTAAAAATGGAAAAAAGTCGAAAAACTAAACTTTTCCTCCAATTCAATTATTTTTTAATAATTTTCCGAAAATTCTTCAAGATTTAAATTATTTAAATACAAAAATTCAATTTTTTATAATAATTTTAACTTTAATTGTCCATGATTTTTTTTTTTTGAAAAGTTATTAAGGCATAATAATTTTAAAAAATTCTAATAAAGAAGCTTAAAATTAATTTTTTTAAATATTTTAAAATAATTTTTGAAAAATACCAGTTTTTCAATTATATACAATGGAAAAAATGTCAAGCAATTGAAATTTGGTAAAATCTTTTAAAAATTATTGAATTATTGAAAAATATATGAAGAAAAAATTCTTCAAAAATTAGATTTTTTCTTCATATATTTTTCAATAATTCAATAATTTTTAAAAGATTTAAATCATGTTCATATTTATAATTAAAATTCTTCAAAAATTAGATTTTTTTCTTCATATATTTTTCAATAATTCAATAATTTTTAAAAGATTTTTTTTGAAATTTTAATAAAAGTCTAAAAAAGTAAATTTAAAAAAATTGTCGTTTACTTCATTCGAAGATAATTCAATTTAAAAAAATGAGAACGAAAAAATTCTAAGAATTACTTTATTCAAAAATATTTTAATATAAACTTTATAAAAGCTAAATTTCTTTAGTTTTCATTTTTCAATTTACACTTGAAGATTTATCATAAAATTCTTTTAAAATTCTATTATTTTCAAAATCTGCTATATTACTATTCTTGAAAAATTGTCGATTATAAATTTTACAAAATTTCAATCATTCAAAATCTTTTTAATTGTATATTTCGAAGATTTTATTTTAATTTGTTGAAATATTTGGAAAAAAGTCGAAAAAGTCTAAATTTTTTGAAAATAAATAAAAAACGACTCATTTTTTGTAAATAGTTGAAAAAAAGTCGAAAAAGTTATAATATCCGAGACCTGAAATTAGAACATTTGTCCTTTACGGTGAAGAAAGGATGAAAAAGTTAATTTTTTCAATATATATATATATAAATACTGACCGCAACCAAAAGCGAATAGAACGAGTGTATAGATGAAGAAGAATTTGATAATGTCTATTATCATTCTCCCGAGGGAAATCTGCAAGGGTCCAAGATGTGGGTTGACGCTGAATATGTGCACAAGTTTTAAAAAGCTGAAACATATTATACAGACTAGATTTTATTTTTATATCCTACTCTTTTGCGCGAGGTTCTTCTACTTTTTTTTCTATGATACTAAGGTGTATATGGGACAGGGTAAATTATTGATAACGTCAGATATAAAACTAGAAACTTTATAAAGATAAGGTCTCGCGTATTTTCCTAGCAATGGAGAAATTTGTCAAAGAACTATCTCTCTCTTTTTACAGAAACTCTAATTTTATTTCATTACTTGAGAAATTTTCCCTTTTCTATGTTAATATACAACATTCAAGTGCGGAAAATGTTTAATAATAGTTAAGCTCCTTTTCTGCTAATCTGTCCGTTTGTAAAATTTAACACGTTTAACTTACAATTTTAAGTAAGTTTTTCAAGTTTTACTTTATATTTTTAATTTAAATATTTTATTTCTTTTAATTATTTAATTAATTAATTTTATTTAAATATTTATCATATTATTTAATTGTTAATTAATTTTTTAAATGAATAACTACAATAAATAACGATTTTTGAGTAGAAAAGAAAAGATTGCGGTTATTCCCCGAAAGAATGTAAATGTACCGTAAAGATGAAACAGTTTTTTTTTTGTAAATATTCGATTTTCAGATCTATCGAAATATCGATTTTCGATAATTGAGCAATTGTGAATTAGACTTAAGAACAAGCGACCAATCAGAATTAGGAAAATTTCTAATATGTGTTTAGGAGGACGTAACAATTTTGATGCATTTAGGAACACACAAAGATGGCCGCTTTACATTCTGGTAATTGTCATGACAGTCATGACGCTAAGTTTTGTTTTAATCATCCAGCTTTTTTTTCTTAATCTTTGGAAATCGTTCAAGAAAAAAGTGATATTTTAAATGAAGAGAAGATTAAATTTGGTAAGATGTGATTATTTTCGTGTTTTTCAATAAAATAGTTGAGAAATATGAAAAGAATTCATAGCGTCGCTTTTTCAGTGGGGGTGAATTTTTCCGTATTTCTCAAAGTTTACGTATAAATATTGAAAAAAAACTTTGGTTTATTGTTTTTTGTTACAAATATTGAAAAGAATAGTAAATTTAGATGATGATTGGTAAAATAAATTCCGATAGTGTCAATATAACCTCATTTGTCATTATCAATGTAATCGGAAAATTTTCTTCGGTTTATTCGGAAAAGACAAGAATATAATTGAGGGGCTGGATGCTATAATGTGTTACGCGCCATGTTAAGTGAATGGCGCGTAACACATTATAGCATCCAGCCCCTCAATTATTTTACATAACTAAATTAATTTTTTGTGAATTTATCATCAGTGTTTTATTATTATTATTCATTTTTAGCTATTTTTATTCTTTTTCTTATTTGACATATTTTATTATCTTTGGAAAATAAAACTCGTTCCAACAATTTTATTGTTTTCAGTGTTTAAAAGAATTAAAATAAAAATTAAATTACCGATTTACTGAATTGAAAAATGAAAAAAAAAATAATTTTGTCAATTCACATTTTCTTTCTCTTACCCACGAAGGAATTATTTATTTAAATGAAATCCAAATAAATTTGGATTAAATGAAAATATTTTCTTTCAGGAAATAAAAGACATTTGAAATAAAAATTTTATTGAATAAAATAATAAGAAATTTATCAGAAATAAAATTTTTCTTTGACGCGAAAAACGTATTTGATGTAAATAAATTAATTTAACAAATAAAAATTTGACATAAGTAAAAAATTTGACTTGAATTAAATATTTGTTATAAATGAAGTAAATATTTTTATTCGGTAAAATGTTTATTTCAATCCAAATAGAAATTTACTTGGGACAAATATTAATTTATTTGAAGCAAATATTAATAAATAATAATTTACTTGAAAAAACTATTAATTTATTTGAACTAAACTTATTTTTATTCAAATTCATTTATTAATTTGAACAAAAATATTAATTTACTTGAACAAAACTATTAATTTTAATCAAAAAAATAATTATTTATTTGAACTAATTAATTTATTTATTCGGACTAAATATTAATTTATTAGAACTAAATATTAATTTGAATCAAAATATTAATTTATTCGAACTAATTTATTAATTTGTACTAAAATATTAATTTATTTGCACTCAATATTAAAATGGATTAAAATATTAATTTATTCTAACAAACTATTAATTTATTTGAACAAAAATTAATTTATTCAAACTAAATAATTTGAATCAAAATATTAATAGCAAAAAACTATTAATTTTAATCAAAATAATAATTTATTTCAACAAAACTATTCATTTACTTGAATTAATTTATTAATTTGAACAAAAACATTAATTTATTCGGACTAAATATTAATTTGAATAAAAATATTTATTTATTAGGACTAAATACTTATTTATTTAAACTAAATATCAATTTATCTAAACAAAAATTAATTTATTTGAACTAATAAACTAATTTCAACAAAAATATTAATTTATTCGGACTAAATATTAATTTGAATCAAAATATTAATTTTTTTGCACTAAAATATTGATTTATTCAAACTAATTTATTAATATAAACTGAAATATTAGTTCACTTGAAGTAAATATGGATTTGAATAAAAATATTAATTTGTTCGAACTAAATATTAATTTATTTGAACCAAATATCAATTTGTCTGAAGAAAAATTGATTTATTTGAACTAATAAACTAATTTGAACAAAAATATTAATTTATTCGGGCTAAATATTAATTTGAACAAAAATATTAATTTATTCGGACTAAATATTAATTTGAATAAAAATATTAATTTGTTTAGTAAAACTATTAATTTAGTTGAACCAAATATCAATTTTTTTAAACCAAATAATGTTATCGCTGACAAATTTTTAAAAATTTATCATTAAAAAAATTTTCTTTTGTAATCAAATTATTTTTGAAATCATTCGCACAAAAAAAAATCAATTAATAACGTTGAATTTCGATTCCCTTTTTATATACCTGAATATCATTCCTGCTGCGAATGCACCTTCTGATAAAAGCATCGGGTCAAAAGCGTCCCACTGATCTCTTGGATACCAAGGATCCTCGCCACTCCAGTATTCTCTCTGTCGAGATAAATTAATTCCTTAAGCATCTTTTATAAACCCTCCTCAGAAAAATCGTAAAATAGGAGGACAAAAGCAAAAAAAAAGGAAAAATAAATAAAAGAAAATAATAAATAAAATTGTAATCTTGATATCGTTTTATAGTATTCGAATGTTTATTTCAATCTTAAAAATCTAGTCACGTTCTTTTTAATGAATTTTTCATATTAAATTCTAGAAAAAAAATAAATTTATTTTTTTGAAATTTTATAAAAAAAAAAATTTGCAAAATTTCAATTCGGGTACAGAAAATTCTTTAATAAAGTAGAAAAAATTGTAAATGTTTTAATATCGATTAGAAGAAAGAGAACAATTACATTTTTCACTGAGAAGAGAATATATTGTATTAAATTTTGTAAAAGTATTCTACAATTTAGGGAAAAAGTGCATCGAAGCAAAATTTTGATATAAAAAATACTAAACATTAAAAAAATATATGTGAAATTTAGTAACGTTATATTAAAATTTAATAAATATTCTTAAGTTAAAGGAAGAAGTTAACAATTAATATTCTTGTTATTTAATGTAATTTTATATTGAATTTGACAAAAGATTTTTTTAAAGTTCAATATTTTTTATACCAAAATTTTGCCTTGTCGCATTTTTCTCCCAAATTGTAAAATACTTTTACAAAATTTAATATATATTCTCTCTCCGTCCAAATTCTAAAAATTGTTTCTAAATTAAGTCCCTGAAGTTGGCTTCGATGCCGACTTTAAGGGAATTCTGAATTAAAATTAGAAAATTAGGATTAGATTTTAAATTACAAACAATATTTTTAAATTGATAAAAAAAAGTAAATTAAAGGTTGAATTTAAAAAATAGCTATATATTAACCTACCATCACTACAAACCAAGCTGTGGCTCTTAAAAACATCCAAAGTACGTAGAACGTATTTTGAATGAAGTCGACAATATTCCATAGATCTGATATGTATTCCAGTAAACCGCCTGACCATAATGATCGAATTTCCCCAATCACTAAACCTAGAATTATAATAATAATTATAATAATTCTAACAAAAATAATAATAATTTTTATTATAATAATTCTAATAGTAATAATAATATTAAAAATATTTTTAATAATTCCGTAATAATTAAAATCTAAATTCTGTTACAGGTCATCAAGATGCACGATTTGTTACCTCTACGTGGTATATCTTGGAAACAATATAATTGAAAATCTTACATTTAATAATTTACTAATTCAGTGAGATGTGTGATATCTTTCACTTCTCAAAAAAATTAATAATTGAACTTTAATAAGTCAAAACGAAAATCACCTTTTTTTTGGACGACTTTACTTGAGACTGGACAACATCAAATTTTAAGTCTTAGGTACATTTTTTTTTGCTTTTAAAATTTTAATATTTATTTTCATCACTTTATTTATAGTCAAGGTGGCCACATGTCAGTAAAGTCAGGGAAATGTCAGTAAAACAAAATATAGAAAATAATTAAATTATCAAAAAATTTAATGAGAAATCTTTAAATTTAAATTTAAAAATGAAAATTAACTTCTAATTTTTAATTAAAATTTTATCAAAAAATTAATTAGTATTTTTAAATTACACAAAAAGTTACAATTTATTATAAAAAATTTAGTTTTTGTATTTAAATAATTGATTTAGAGATGAAGTTTAGTTGAAAATTATAGAAAATAATTGAATTCAGGAAGGGTTATAATTGTAAATTTTAGAAATTATTAAAATTCATAAATTTTACTCATTTTCTGTAAACTCTCATATTTTCCTGTAAAAAAAATTTTTTCAGGAAAAATAATTTCAATGTCAGTAAACTGTCAGGGAAATTAATAAATTGAAACTTGTGACCACCCTAATAATATATTTACTTTATATTTATTAATATATTTTATATACTTTATAATAATTTCTTTACAGTATAATAATTTTTTTTTGTAATTATTTTAATTTGTCTATTCAAATTGCTAATTCCTAATTTTAACATAAAATTTTGTCGCCTTTATTTTAAACTTATAAAAAACAAGGTCAAACAACAATTAACTTTTCTCAACAACTTTTTAATTCAATTATTTTATTTGAACCAAAAAATAAGGCTAGAGGTAAACCATTATTAATACTAAGTGGATATAATAAGTGAAAAATAATATTAACAAGTAAAATTTAATTTACAAGTAGTGATTAAAAAAGGGAAGAAATTAAAAAAAAACTTGATTAATATTGAACACAAATTTTTTTTTTGCTTAGGGATTTTTGGGAAATCTGCATACAGATACCTTGGAATCCGCACTCCAAGGTTATATTTGGGGTTAGTAAAATAAAAAATAAAACAATATAAAATAAATAAAATATTAAGCTTAACAAGCTGGCGACTAAATTGCGAAAATTCAAGTATTAACTTGATTAGAGAAGAAAAATTTAACTTTTTAGCTCAAAAATCATTAGTAGTTTTCGGAGCAACAAAAAATCGGTTAAAAGGGAATTTTTTGAGTTAATTTTATTTATTTTATATTCCTATTAATACATAAAATTAACTCAATATTTTCCTTATTTGTTTTTTAATTCTTTTTAATTATATTAATTAGTGTGGTTAATTTAATTAATGTTAAAGTAAATAAAAATTATTTAATGCCATGAAAAAATTAATGGTTCATCTCAACATTTTTAATCATTAAAAAAAAACTTATTCCAATTTTCTAAGAATTTAAAAAAAATAGAATGTCTAATAAAATTGTAGGGCTTTGTTAAGACTTTAGAACACGGATAAGTGGATTTACGGAATCGTTGTACTCTTAGGGTTCACTAGTACTATATATATATATAGATGTCAATTAAGGACAGTGGCAATGACTTACTTATTATATACAGGACGACCCCAGACTCAACGAAGCCGGGCAAACAACCTCGTTCCTTTCGTTTCCATCCCGCTAAAATCTCCCTTAACCACGCGTTGCCAAAAAGTTCAATCACTAAATATTCTATTCTCTGCGAAGCCATTCCAAGTAACACTATAATTAAAGTTTTTTTTATTTTTTTTAAATTACAATGTCAAATGATTCTTTACTCGTTTTCTAATTTCTTTACCGAAAGAAACTATTTTAGAAATATATGAAAAGGTGAAAGAAAAACCTTATCTTATGTTTCTATTTATCAAGAACTACAGTACCGTCCGCAATTGTCAGTCCACCCATTTTTAAAGGAATGACAAAAATTTTTTAACATAAAATTCATGAAAACTAAAATTTTTTTTGGTTTATATTTTTAAAGACGATAAAATTTTGAAAAGAATAAGACCTTACAGAAGTCATTTGGCCAAAATTTGTAGAAGATATTCCTAAAAATCGTCTTTTCAATGTTTTACAAAAATTTAAATAACTTCTAAAATAATGAACGCTTTTTAATAATCTTAGGCTTATTTTAAAGGTCTTTTTCTACGGAATAAGAATTACTTATAGGCATTAACCTGTCATTTTTAACTTGGAATAAGCATGACGTCAAAATTGGACAAAAAAATTGGAAAAATTTGAAATCAATTTTTTGTACTAAAAACTATTCTAGAACATTTATAAAACATGATATGGTGTAGATTTTTCAAGAAAATTTAATAAAAATATATGTTTGAATTTCAAAAATTATTTTTCTTTTAATAATATTATTTCAAATTTTTTGAATTTTTTTGTCCAACTTTGACGTCATGCTTATTCCAAGTTAAAAATGACAGGTTAATGCCTATAAGTAATTCTTATTCTGTAGAAAATGGTCTTTAAAATAAGCCTAAGATTATTAAAAAGCGTTCATTATTTTAGAAGTTATTCAAATTTTTGTAAAACATTGAAAATGACGATTTTTAAGAATATCTTCTACAAATTTTGGCCAAATGACTTCTGTAAGGTCTTATTCTTTTCAAAATTTTATCGTCTTTCAAAATATAAACCAAAAAAAATTTTACTTTTCATGAATTTTATGTTAAAAAATTTTTGTCATTCCTTTGAAAATGGGTGGACTGACAATTTCGGACGGTACTGTATATCTGAATTTTGTAGTCATTTTATCAATATGATGAATTGTCAAATATTTAAAATAAATATAATTCCTATTGTTGTAAAAAGCTTAAGCCCTGTAGTAAAATTAGGAAAGGACTTGAGAAAATAGGATTGAACTAATATTGTTTATTTTAAATGTAATAGTTGCCCAGCCACGTATATTGGTGAATCGAAACGTACCTTGAAAAAAAGAATAAGTGAACATAAAAACAAAACCCTCGATTCTATTGTGAACAAACATCAAATTGAATATAATCATTCTTTCAATTTTGACGATGCAGAAATTTTAGATTATGAAACTTCTTATGAAAAACGATTAATTTCTGAGATGATTTATATTAAATGCAATGATTTTACTATTAACAAGAAGGAAAATTTATAGTTTCTCAGTAATACCTATTTTGCTTATTAAGTTGAAGTCACTCACACCGACTCAGTCAGTTTGACTATTCATTTTTAAACATGTTTGTGATTTGCAAATTCAAATATTTTATTTTTCTAGTTCTATTTAATTATTTATTTTATTGACTAAATATTTATGTAATTGAATTTAAATAGGCAATGTTCATACAAACTTTTTTTTGGTTATATAGGAATAGGCCTAGCAAAAAATCTATTCAACCGACCAATAGCTATTGTCCCTAATTTTCTTAAAATTTATTATTCGGTGGTTTTCGTGGTCACCAGTTTGAATTTTTTAAATCTGACTTTAGCTTCGTAATCAGCGACCCTGAAAACCCCCGAGTAATAAACTTTATGCAAATTTCAGCAGTTTTGAGAAAAATGTCCGCCATATTGGATCCGCCATTTTGAATTTTGAAAATCTGACTTCAGATTCGTAATTAGCGACTCCAAAAACCTCTGAGTAACAAGTTTTAACAAAATCCAATCCCTGGCTTTCCCGGAGGGGAACGAAAGGGTTAAACAATTTATAATTGTTAACCCGTTGACTGTCGCTGACGCATATATGCGCAAAACTAAACTGGCCAAAAGTGGTTCATGACGCATATATGCGCAATTTAAAAAAGGTGATTAAAAACTTCTTAAATGTTCCTGAAATCGCGGTTTTCGAGGTCGCTGATTACGAATCTAAAGTCAAATTTAAAAAATTCAAAATGGCGGATCCAATATGGCGGACGACAATATTAAAAATTTATTGTATTGGCTTCAAATTTGTTACTCGGGGTTTTTTGGGGTCGCTGATTACGAATCTGACATCAGTTTTTCGAAATTCAAAATGTCAGATCCAAGATGGCGGAAATTTTTTCAAAATTCGTCGAATTTGCTTGAAACTTGTTACTCGGGGGTTTTAAGGGTAGCCGATTACGAATCTAACATTAGTTTTCCAAAATTCAAAATGGCGGATCCAATATGTCGGACAACGAAATAAAAAATTGATCAGATTGGCTTGAAACTGAATACTCGGGGGTTTTTAAGGTCGCTGATTACGAATCTATCATTATTTTTTCAGGGTATTTATCGAAATTTGATTTTATCAACAATTATCATACAGATGTCAGATTAACCAGTTTTAAACAAATTCAATAAATTTTAAAAAATTTTCCGCCATATTGAACCAGATATTTTGAATTTTGAAAAATTGATTTCAGATTCGTAATCAGCGACCCTGAAAATCCTCAAGTATTCAATTTCAAGCCAATCTGATCAATTTTTTATTTTGTTCGCCATATTGGATCCGCCATTTTGAATTTTTGAAAACTAAGGTTAGATTCGTAATCAGCGACCCTTAAAACCCCCCGAGTAACAAGTTTCAAGCAAATTCGACGAATTTTGAAAAAATTTCCGCCATCTTGGATCCGCCATTTTGAATTTCGAAAAACTGATGTCAGATTCGTAATCAGCGACCCCAGAAACCTCAGGGTGCCAAATTTGCCAAATTTCATAAAAATCCATTAAAAATTTTTTCAACACACTTTTGGCCCAAACAGTGGAAATCTCGTTGACAGCCAAGGGGTTAATTAAATATTTTTTTAAACTATTAATTAATAAATGTTAAATAATTGATTAATTATTAATTTATTTCTTTTAAATAAGAGGGAAAATCCTTACTGAGAAAAACTGCGTACGATGCTGAGTGACAAATAAATTTAACGAAAGGTTTCTTCATAAAAAGTCCCATTTTCGATGTGGGCTGCAGCATGTAAATTGTACTGTACACGGGAAACATTGCCCCCAATTTTCCCACTTCGATCAATTGATTCATCATGCTCAATCGTCGAAATCCGGGTAAACCGTCATACCAAATGGCAGCCAATAGCTGCTGTACGTTTGGATGAGCGACAAACTGAAAGCAATTATTTTTCAAGTAATTCCAATTTTGCTTTTTAATAAAAATTTATTTAAATTTGGGCTAATTTTTTTATTTTCAATACAAAAAATTAGCCTGATTTTTTTATTTTTTGGAAAAATCAGTTTTGTGACAATTTTTTTTTAAAGGGGTTTCTTAAATAGTTTAGCTTAAAACACTCATTTTAGAGTATAGCGTAAAGGTGGTGAGAAATTGTAATTTACGAAAATGACCTACTTGCTTTTGTTTATATTTAATTCCGAGCTTAAGTCTTTCTAATGTCTGCCTCTCGCCAGGCTCCCAGTTGTCTCCCGTGGGATTGTAGTTGAGCATGACTTCCAATTCGTAGGAAGTGCGAGCGTGATCCAAAAGAGAAGTTGCGAAAGTTTGTACCTGTTCTCTCATTTCCTGCAATTTACGTCAGTATTTTATCATTAAAAACAATTAATTAAACTTCTACTTATTCTAATAAATTCTAATTCATTTTTACTTGGGGAGAAAAAAAAGAATTTCCTTTTCGAAAAGTATTTTTTAAAATAGATAAAATTTCGCTTTAGGAAAATGCAAATTTTTCATTTAAGGGGTTACATCCACTTAGGATTTTGAAAAAATTCAATTTTTTTATTGCACATTTTTGTAATATACATGTATTTAAGAGTACACTTAGAAAATTTCAGGGCGATCCGTTGAATATTCCCAAAGTTACATTCAAGTTTGTAAACATTGTCGGAGCGTCTGTCCCTTTCTTCTATCTTCCTATTGTGAATAAAAAGATAAAAAAGAAGTTCTAGAAGGTGTTAAAGATGCAGAAGATTCATTATATGGGCCTGGAATAGACGATTCAATGTAAATTGAAAAAAAAATTTTTACTATGAGTAAAGTAGTTTTGAAACTATTTTTATGGACGCGTTTTGCTCAAAACTGTTTTTAAAGTCGGTGAGCAAGATTTCTGGAAAAATGCTAAACCGATCAGTCACAGATTTCAACACGAGCTTTTTAATTATATTCTTTAGTGATTAATCGACGGTTTTTTTACAATAAATATTTTTTATTTTATAAACAATTTAAGTCGTGAATTTGGGTAAAAAAAATGATCCTTCCGCTTTCAGAAAACACCATTTTGTCAAAAATTATATTGTTTATTCTTTCGATTAATCACAGGATAATATATTACCGCAAGATGCCTCTCTTCTGAGGAGATCTCCGCAATTTCTTTATTGAAGTTTAAAAAAAAATTATTTTTATAAATAAAATATGTCAAAATAAAGTTCAAAGTACCCTTTATATGTGCCATAATTTTTAAATTGAAATACTCAATAGTTTTCTCAGAAAAAATTCCTAAAATATCGATTTTTTTCGATTGTCTAACTAGGGGTCGATTATGTAATTTCACTTCACTTTCATTTCACTTTCACTTCACTTTCACTGCAATTTCATTTTCACACCACTTTTAATCCAATTTCACTTTTACTTAAATTTCATTTTCATTCCAATTTCACTTTTACCCAATTTATGTTTTCACTCCACTTTCACTTTTAGTCAAATTTCTTTTTCACTCCACTTTTACTTCACTGTCACTCGAATTTCACTTTTACTCAAATTTTATTTTCACTCCACTTTCACTTCACTTTCACTCCAATTTCACTCTACTTTCACTTTTACTCAAATTTTATTTGTAGAGTAAGAATAAATGTTGAATGAGAATAAAATTTAAGTGAAAGTGAAGTGCAGTGAAAATAAAATTTGGGTAAAAGTAAAATTCGAGTGAAAGTGGAGTGAAAATAAAAATTGATTTAAAGGAAAAATGAAGTGAAAGTGGATTGAAAATAAAATTTTAGTGAAAGTGAAGTGAAAGAGGAGTTAAAATAAAATTTGAGTAAAAGTGAAAGTGAAGTGAAAGAGGAGTAAAAATAAAATTTGAGTAAAAGTAAAATTCGAGTGAAAGTGGAGTGAAAATAAAAAATGATTTAAAGGGAAAATGAAGTGAAAGTGGATTGAAAATAAAATTTTAGTGAAAGTGAAATTAAGGGTGAAAGTGGAGTGAATAAAAATTGAGTAAACGTGAAATTGGGGTGAAAGTGAAGTGATAGTGGAGTGAAAATAAAAATTGGGTAAAAATTAAATTGAAGTAACCTCCTGGATGTAATCCCTTAAGCTTGAAAAAGAAAATTTTACGTTATATTCGGCGCGAAATTCCTGTTCCATTTGACTGAGTCTTCGTAATTCCCAGGATAATTCGAATGCCGTGAGAAGTGGATCCCTTGAGGAGAGGGCAATAAGGGATGACGCGGAAAGGGCACGATAGGCATTTATCCTCGACTGTGAATGTCGTAGTGAGTCTTGAGTACTTGATACGACACATTCGTCACAGCCGCACCTAGAAAGAAATTATTTTTAAGAGTTTAAGATTGGACCTCATGGCTTTTAGGAAATACTTTTGTTTTCTTACCTTACATCATGGGGAGTGGGAAGAGTAGCACCGCGATCCAAAAGAATCTTTATAATTTCGTAATTATTTTTGTGAGCCGCCAAAATTAGGGGCGTTATATCAGGTGTAAAATTCGATGAAGATCTATCCACTGCTTCCCAACTCTTAAAATAAAGGATAAAATATTATCAAACTGAATGGAGAGAAAATAAAAAACAATTTTCTTTTATTTCGTATATTACGAGAGAGAAAGGGTAGGGTTATAAAAAAAAGTGCGACTTGAGTGAAAATTATTAGAAAAGTTATTTTTTTAAAAAAAAGTGATGAAAGAAAACTTACGTATGGTTGTCCGGCAACATGAATCTTTTCCTCCCACTCCAACAGGATCTCAACAGCTTCCACGTACTCCTCTTTAATGGCATGTAGGAGAGCATCCTGCGAAAAGTACATACACAACTTTCGAAACTCCCATACTTAGAATATATCCTGAGCATAATGGGTTATTATACTTTAATGTTAGGTGGATTTGTGTTCGCCAGTTCAGTCTCATTTTTCACATAAAAAATAGTTTGTTACTTTCAACCCCTTTTTTAAGAAAAAAAATTATACTTAAAATTTTTCTCTTTTTTCTTTAAATAGTAATTAAAATAATTTTTTGCTGCTGAGAACACTCATTCCATATTTGCAAAGTTAACTTTATTTTTATTACCTTGACTTGAATTCCAAGTTCCAGTAAAAGATTAATAAGATCAATATTTTCATTTTCAATAGCCGCTATGAGAGCTGATCGATTCAATGGATCCACGCAATTGATATTTAAAAGTTCCGGATGATCTTTGTGTTCGTCGAGTAATCTGTGAGTAGATAAAAAAAAATTAGTTTTATTTTTTTAAGTAACATTTGTTTCGCGACTTTACAAGTTGATATAAATTGATCTAGTGGCTTATTATCGCTGGAAAATATTGGTACTATTTTATTATACCATTTAACATATAAGTGGTTTTACTGCTACTCATAGAAATCTGCAAAAACATGATTTTGATTGGGATAATTTCTATATACTTGACAAACAGGGCTCAAACTAAGTCCGTAGATCCCGTATAGGTCCGTAAATTTGCTTGAAGTCTGTAAAAGTAAATTATGTTTAAAAACTTAAAAAAATTCTCGTCAAAATTTCAATTATCTTTATAAATAATAAGAATCTTCTCCGAAATTTAATTATTTAAAAAAAATTTAATAAAATTCTTCGTAAGAATTCAATTGTTTTTAAAAATTTTAATAACATTCGTTGCAAGAGTTCAATTATTTTTGAAAATTTTAATGAAATTCGTTGCAAGAATTCAATTATTTTTCAAAATTTTAATAATATTCTTGTCAAAATTTCAAAAATTTTCCTGAATTTAATGATTTTTAATATCTACTATTTTAATGAAATTTTCCAACAGAATTAAATTATTTAAAATAAATTTTGATAAAATTCTACGCAAACATTCAATTATTATTTTCATAATAAAATAATGAAAATTATACAAGACTTCAATTATTTACAAATTTCTTTGCAATAATTCAATTATTTTCATAAATAATGGAATTTTCACAGGAATTTTAAATTATTTTAAAACAAAATTTTCATAAAATTTTTCTAAAAAAAGGAATGAATTAAAATGATTTTAATAAAATTCGTTGCAATAATTCAATTACTTAAAAAAAATTAATAAAGTTTTTCGTACCTAAGAATTTAATTGATTTTGAAAATTTTAATAAAACTCGTTGCAAGAGTTCAATATTTTTAAATTTTTAATAAAATTGGTTGCAAGAATTCAATTATTTTTAAAAATTTTAACAAAATTTGTTTACAAGAGTTAAATTATTGTTCAAAATTTTAAATTATTTTCCTGAATTAAATGATTTTCAATATCTACTATTTTAATAAAATTCAATTATTTGAAATTTTTTAAATTAAATTCTACGCAAACATTTAATTACTTTCATAAAATAATAAAAAAATTTCAAGACTTTAATTATTTACAAATTTTTTATAAATTTGTTCGCAATAATTTCAATTATTTTTAATACAATTTTAATCAAATTCCTCAAAAAATGTAATTATTCTTAAAAATTTTATTAAAGTTCGTCAAAAGAATTGAATTCTAAAAAAAATACAAATATTCAATAAATTATTTATTATTGTATTTAAATAATTGAATTTTCGTAAAATTTTCTAATAAAAATTGATTTAAAAATGAATTTTAGTTGAAATTTTAGATAATAATTGAATATTAAAAGCATTATAGCATGAATTTTTAGAAATAATTGAATTTTGAAAAGGTTTCAAATTAAAATGTTTGAAAATTTGAATTTTTCATATTTTTAATTAACAATTCTGTAGAATTAATTTTTTTGGAAAAGTTTAATTGAAGAATTTTCGAATAATCGAAATGTCGTAAAATCGAAACGTCGACAAATGAATTTGAAATTTCTCAAAGAATTTTTTCGAAAATTATTAAAAATAATTGATTTAAAGTAGAATTTTAGTGAAAAATTCTAGAAAATAATAATTGAAAGAAAATGATGAAAATAATTTTGAATATTTAACAATATTCTTAGAATATAAAGTAATGATTTTATCACTTGGCTATCTTTAATTATTATAAAAAATAGTCCCTAATTTTTCATTTTTGGTCCGTAAAGTACGTATTTTTAAATACTTTCACTGGTTCGAGCCCTGGACAAAGAATCGAATGAGAGCAAACGCCTAATATCTGAAATGATTCATATTAATTTACAAAAGAATGCAATAAACAAAAAAGGTGACACTCAAAACCTTAGTAATTGTTATAAAATGAAGAAAGCAATTCACAATGTGATTCGTGAGATTCTCCTAAATACTGTTATAAAATAAATAAAATGAAGAAAGTTTCGCGATTACGTTGTAAAATTGTGAATGAAACGAACGAATCTACGTACGTAGAAAATAAAAAAGGAAAATAAATAAAAGATTTGAATGAAAAGTAAAAAAAAATTTTTTTCCGATAAAAAATAGAAATTAAATCTGACGTGGAATTGCCAATAAGTATATTTAGAGAAAGCGTGGGTTTATAGAATAATTAATGTCTTGGGGTAGAATCCTAATTTTGGTAGGATTGTTAGATGGTGAAATTACCTTTTAACAGTCGCACAATCACCTCGTTCTGCGCTAAGCAGGAAGTGCTTTTCAACTGGGCCAAGAGAATACTCAGCAGGTGCTTGCAATGACTGTACAGTCCCTGTCTTACCAGGTGCAGCTTCATTACTGAGCAAATTTTGCTGTGACTCTGATTGGTTCATGATTTCTTATTTTTCCTTCTTGATCTTTCATTGAATTCCGATGCGAGATCTCTTAGTCTATTACACATAAATACATTTTTTAACTTTTCCCTCCCATATAAAAGAAAAAAAAATTGAATAAGATCACAAGGAAAAGTTAAAAAGAATTTAATTTTCATTTAAAATAATATTAAATTTTCGCTTGAAAAAAATTGTATGCGATTTTATTCTATTTTTATGTGGGTCAAACTTGTAGCTATGATTAGTGTCATTGACATACTTTTCTCATTGATTATTTATTACAAAAGTTTTATTAAAAAAGTTTTACATAAGAAAAAGAAAATTTCATTGTTTTTAATTTTCATAAAAATTTCTCTGCCAAAGAATGAAACTGTAGCATTAGGAAAGAAAAAATTGGAATGTTTTTTTTAAATTGAGAAAAATTGACTGAAAACAAATTTAAGAAAATAAAAATTTTGTCTGAAGAAAACAAAAAGACGCTTGTTGAAATCTATATAAATTTTTATTTATTCAAATGCAAAATTAACACCGCTACCTTCAGAAAATCAATTTTCCTTATTATTGAATTTGAGAATATATATTAAAGAAATTTTTTTCCATTAGTCAGAATAAAAGAAAATTGTCATTTAAGTTTCATTGTTGCATTTTGGTTTTAATTCTTTAAAGAAAATTTTATAAGTATTAATATTGATGCTTTTTCTTTTTTATTTATTAAATTTCAAATTAAATTAATATCACAGTTGATGAAATGATAAATTAATATTCACTTATTTATTTTCTCTTAGTCGTGAAATGTGGAATATGCTTTTTCTGTTTGTAACGATGTTCTTGTTCGTTATTATCGTTTCATCAAATATTGTGTCGCAATGTATTTGAAACGGTGGGAGGTGTTCCTGTAATATAACTTGTTGTTCACAATTTTGTGATCCATTACCCGATTCGTCGCTTGGCAACTGCAAAGATCCATGGATTTAAATTAACAAAAAGCAAATTAAGGAATTTCATTTTCTAAAATTGTCGATGGGAAAAAATTTCTTTAATTAAAATACATAATTTAGAAGTGATAAAAAATATTGTTAATTAGTATTTACATCCGTGTTTACATTGAATGTTTTGTATTTGGTCTAATTTTCATTTCACTGGATTTTTCTTTAGCAGACTATCCATTTGACCCAAATTTTTATTTAACGGATTTTCAATTTGCCGAATTTGGAAATTTTAAATTATTTTTCGGTTTATTAAGATGAAAATGTAATTAATATGTTGATGGTGAATGTTGGACTTACGTGATTTTTGAAATTATCCACCATACTTTAGGGACACTTGTCAGTCGCCATGGAATGTGAAACTGTCGAGTTAAACTGAGTAAAAAAAGGGACACCTACATTGTCACCTGTATTCGAATCCTTACAATATCCATTGTTTAGTGGTAGGGGCCACGGGGGTGTGGATGATGGGTTCATAGAGAGGGAGAACAACTGGGGTGCTGGGTCTCAACAGGATTAAGTACAAATATATAGGATGTGGTGTATATTAAAAAAGAAACGCTTTTAATAAATGTGTGCGAGTTTAATCGCCCTCGGGTCTCGATATAAACAACCTACGTGGGTGGTATAGTTGCAGATTCAGGTATCTTTCATAAATACAACATTATTAACTCCAATCTGTAAACATAATTCTTTCAATTTAACCATAATTTCCAGAAGAAATATTCTATGCCTATTAATTTTAGGAATTTTAAATGTTTTTTATTGTTATTAGATACGAATTTTTATTTTTCTTCTTTTTTTATTTGGTATTTTTTATTGTATGATGCATTGTCGAAAATTGTCAGGTGTCAAGGTTAAAATGGGAATATTACATAATATGTTGTATATCAAAATTATTTTTGACCGCGAGTCCTATTTTTTGAAATGTCGGGTCACCTGAAGCAATTGTTCTTCATTTTGGCGTTTTTTGTGACGACATTCTCGTGGTATATCCTCCTACGTCTTTTTCCACCTTACTTGCTTTATGCTCCCTCCTCTATCCTATTGTTTCATTTTCCACTTTCTCGCGAAAATTTAACACACGAACCACGTGTTTCGCCTCCTGTGTGATAAATTCATCCAATGGGATCAAGCTCCTTACCGGAAGAACGTTTCGAGAAATTATTCTTTTTAGCACATCCTACTCGAGGGGAATTTTATCAACATCTATATATATATATAAATTTGGTACGTGGGGCTTGATTTTTATTGGATTTATTTTCACTCTTCCGACAAAACTTATTACACCGAAACAAAATACTAGGTCCAAGTAATTAAAATTAAGTTGGGCTAATTAAATAATTTGATTCAATTTTAATTAATCTATTTAGTTTTAATTACTGACAAATTTATTAAAGTTAGAAAAAAATATTCGAGCGAATGATAATGAAACTTGAGTTTCCAATTTTGGGTAGTCAAACTATTTGATAATTAAATATCAAAAAACTTATTAAAAGTCAGTAGAAGAAAATATTCCGACGAATGATAATGAAACTTTACTAAGTTTCCAATTTGGAGTGATAAAAATATCAAACTTATTAAAAATCAGTAGAAGAAACTATTTAAACATATAATAATTAAAAGAAATTTTATTCATATTCAATAAATATTTATACAATTTCAATTAGATAAAGCAAACGAAAAGAATTCCTGTTTAAGTAAAATAAAATTTATTTCTAATTCAAAAAAATTTTTTTTTTATGATAAATCGAAAAAAATAATATTTTAGCCACTTCTTTTTTGTTTATTTGTATTAAATTTACATATATCTCTCTTATGAACGATAATATTGTACAATTCCATAAAATATCTAAATCTTACATATATATTTATAGGTTTATGTATGTATAGAGAATATTTTTGTGTATACACATTGACGAATATTGAGTTCAGGGCGATCAATTATCCGCTAAATTCATTTCCAATGCATTTTATTTCTATAATAATTATAATTCAATATACACACAGCTAAGGGGAAATTTATTTCTTTAAAATAATCATCTTTTAACTTTAAACAATATTCTTATCATTAATTTTTTTTTCTTTTTTTTTTAAACTTTCAGTGAGATTTCGATTATTTTCGAAATATTCCAAAAATGAATTTTCTTTTAATTTCATTTTAAGCACTTTTGACACTGAAAACGATTCGTTTGATATTTGAACATTTTATAAGCTTCCAAAAATATTTTTTTCGTAAGTTATTTTTTTAATTTATCGTACAATTAAATTAAATGTCACAATTTATAAATTAAATGCAACAACAATTAATAAAAATAAACAACTAAACTGTTATATAAATAAAATATATTAAAAAATATATATAACAATAGATTAAAAAGTATTTCATTTAATTAAAAATAATTTTTTCTTTGGTTAAATTACTTTTTTGTAAATTAAAAAGCTTTTTGATTAAAAGAGAAGGCAATTAAGGAAATTAAGGAATTATTTTAAAAATTGAGTAGAATCTAGAAATTAGATGTAAAAAAAAATTTTTTTTAAATTGACTTGGTATCAAACAAACGTTTTTCTGAGTGCGATATTCAATATAATTTATATATTATGTATTTTACTTAATTTTTGTTATATATATATATTTGCAATCTCACTTTCGGGCAAATTTTCCGAGTCGTATTTTGCTGAATTCATAAAATCACTTTGTTGGACAATTGTTAAGCAGCCGTTAAGTGGGTAGTGAAGGGGGTGGATGGGAGTGTATTGACATTGTGAAACAAAGCGATTAACGATGTAACTTTATATACGAACTCGGTCTAGACCGTAAATCCGAGATTATTCCTGCTTAAATTCAGCTTGCTCGTCGCTAATAAACTCATATCGATCATTACTAAGGCCCAACTCATTACAAAGTCGGGCAAGTCTCGTTGGAAAAAATCGAAGGCCTTTTTCATAGGTTTCACTATCCACTGGTACGTCTGAACAAATTAAGGACAAGTCCAGATTCGTCGGTATATAATTACGTCCAAATCTGAAATAATAAAATTAAATTCTTTTTAATTCCCTTGAATTAAATTTTTTTTCTAATTTAAAATTTTTTAAAATTTTTTTCTAGGTTCTTTTTTTATTTCTTACAAGTATTTTTTGAAGTATTCCAAATTAGAGAAAATTGTCAAAAGGAGAGAGTGATAATTAAAAAAAAATAATTTTAATCTTTAAAGGACATTTCGAAAAATAAAAATTTATCAATCTAGAGTAAATTTTTAATAATTCCGAATAAAAATATTTACAAAAACGCAAAATACTAGAATAATTTTCCGTCAACAATCAAGTATAAATCTATAAATGTTAAATTGAATCACGAATGTTATCGAGGATTTGATTTCTTTTCCAATACAACTCTGAACTTTAATTAAAATTTTAATCTCCAATTCACATACTTCAACTACATTTATGTATACAAAAAAAAAATAATTTTAAAAATGTCTTAAATTAAAATAAAAAAAAGTTTGACTTTCGCTATTTTTCGAAGAGTATTAATTTTTAAAGATTTTGGATTTAGAAACTTTTTTAAAAACATTTAAGTATTGTCGAGAATACTTTAGTTCCTTAATAAAACTTATAAAAAGTAACCCATCTATTTCGGTTGTATATATTTAAAAACTTATTAAAAGTCAGTAGAAGAACATATACAAACGACTAATTTTTGCTTAATTATTATTAAGTAAAGCAAATTTTAAACCTTGAGGGGAAGAGAAATTTTTATTTAAAAAAATTTCTGTTTAACGTTTTGTAGATTAGAAATTTTAAATTTGAATTGGAAATTCAAAATAATTTTAAAAAATTAAAATTTTTAAAAACTGAAAATATGTTTTTTTTAATGATAAAAAGTATGTAAAAGAAATTATAAAATATAATTATTACCTAATAAATTTGAGATCACCCCTTGAATGTCGATCATAAGTTTGACCCTGTTTTTGACCGGATCTGCCGAATCTTATAATAACGTCGGGCCTCGTTCGTGTTTGCCTTTCAGTTTTTGAATCCTCATTTTGCTCAATAGTATTAAATTTTTCCATTGGATTACTGCGACCAAATCTTATAAATGACGAGCCCATATTGCTGCGCCTCTCTTTCGAATCAGCTTCCTCAAAATTGTCCTCCAAATTTCTCTTTAACAAGTAACCGTAATCATTTCTCGGTGCTTTCAAAATTTTGATATCACTGCTTGATGGCAATATGAGTCCCGACGATAAAATGCAGTTTGAGCTCAGCCCAATTACGTAAAATAATGCCCGAGAAATCTAAAAAAAAATTAACAAATTAAATCCTAAGTAACTTAAAAAATTCAAAATTTAAGTTTTTATTTTACAAAAAGAGTCTGATAGACGTTTGAAAAATTTTTTTCAATATACAGTTACATGTATTTATTTTAATTAAAATTTTTAAATATTCAAATTTGTCAAATTTTTGACTTTATAAAAAATTCTGTACCCAATTAAAAATTAAAAATTTTAAATTCGCAGTAAAATTTAATAGAGGTATTTCAAAAAAAATTATATATTTCTTTTTATAACTTTTTGGCCGTCCTTAGAAGGTAAATTCCCTAAAGTGCATTATCAACTCTCTATCCTGTATGAATTTTTAAAATCATTTTTATGTTATTTTAAGGCGTGATGCCTCATTCTTTTTATGATCTTTTCATGGACTCACGAAGTAAATTGTCATTTTGCATACACGATGTTGCCTACGTGACATGAAGTTTATAATTGAAGCGTCAAAACATATTGAAACATTTCCATATTCAAAGTAGAATTCATTTTAATATTCAAAAGTCAAGAATTTTTTCAAAATTAACCCATGTCAATATAAAGTTAAAAAAATTTTTTTTTTTAATAAAAAATGTATTAATATCTATAAATGCAAATAAGAAATATAAATGCGAAATTTAAGTACAAAATTTAAATAGTAAATTTGTAATTATATTTTTCATTTTTGAATATGATTTTTAAAAAAAATTTCCTAGAGTTTAAATTAATTTTTCAACTTGAACAAAAAAATGACTACAGTAAAAAAATGTCAATAGGATAATTCCATAATTAGATAAAGTTTTTCTTTTCAGCTAAATTAAGCTGTTTTGAATTGCTCTTGCCTTTTTTTTGCAAACAAAATGATAAACGTTAATTAATTTTAAGAACTTGTATTACACTTGACAATAAGTAATATTAGATCGTTATCACCGTGTTTGATAATATTATGGTCCTGTGAGAAAGATTAATATGCGAGTAACGTTACTTAATTAACCTTGCGCTACCGACCCTTATAACGATCTGACGCAACTCCTCCTCCGCATATATTCGCGAAAACAGAAAAGCGATCCAATAATTGGTTCACAAATGCCAAAAAAACGATAGAAATTAGTCAAAATTATTTAAAAATGCATTTGAGAGAAAATTTTTTTTGCAAATTTAATTTTAAAGTTATTATAATTTATAAATAAATAAATTTTTTTAAAAATTGAATTACTTTAATTCTATTAAATTCAAAGATATTTAATCTTATAAACTAAAATATTTGTTTTTTTTAATATTTAAAATATTTAGTTTTTTAAAAATAAAAGTTCTTGTAATTTTTCTTAATTTTAAATATTTACAATTTTTAAAATTTTAAATATTTGAAATTTTTTTATAATGTGAAATAATTATAATTTTTCAAAATTTTAAACATTTAAAATATTTAAAAAATTTTTAATATTTACAATTCTTTGAAAAATGTTCTATTTTTTTGAATTAAAGTGCAAATAAAATTATTGTCAAATGAGAAAAAATATTCCGAGAATGAATGGCTTTTATTTTTCAAGATTAGCGAGAAAAATCCCAGTTGAGGCGTAAAATAATTACATTTCTTAAACGACTCACGTAATAGTCACAAAATCTCATCACTTCTCTCACTCTCACTTGACACCAAAGAATCGCGATAAATTTTTTTTCCTTTTCTTTAACACTTTTTAGCACTTGAAACATAAAAAAAAGGGGAAAAAAAACTTTTTACGATGTCCGCACACTAATCTCTCTACTTGTTGCGCGCCTCTTGTTAAGATATTTCCTTGAAAAATATTTTTATACTTTTATCCCCCTTCAACCACATGACTTTTAATTTCCTTTTATTTCACAATTTTTGAAATAATAGTATTTTGAAATTTTTTAAAGTTGAACTTAAATTTTTCTTTATTTATTATATAAAAAAATGTTACGAAAAAATTAGAAATCTATTTTTAAAAAAGGTTTATAAAGTATTTACCTTTAATTTCTGTTATTAATAATTGTGTGATTAAAACTCTTTTCTTTTGAAATAAGAAATTTTCATTTAGAAAACTTATTATTTTCTTAAAAATGTAAAGAATTATTTAAAAGTCAGTTTAATAATTAACTGAAATAAAAATTTATTTATTTATCGAAATTTTAAAAGTGGATCTACTACTTATTTTTGAAAATAATTATATGAATACAAAAATTAAGGTTTAAGAAAAAATTTGTGAATTTTATAAATTAGAATATAAAAAATTATATATAACATTATAAATATTAAAGTAAACACAATTTAAAATTAATTAAAGCGTTAAAGACTAAATGCTGAACTTTTTATTTCTCTTCGATGTGAAATAAAAATATAAAACAAAGTTTTGAGTTTAAATTAAAATTTTTTAATATAAAACTTCTTTAATGTAATTTGTAATGTATCTAATTTTTTCATAAAAGAATTTAAAAAATTTTTTTTAAAAATTTTTTAAAGAAAAGAATTAATTTTTCTAAATAAACTTTTTAGTGTTTCTACAAATTTTCTTTTTGAGGAATAACTGTAAAAAAAATTTCTTTTTAAAAATGTTAAAAAGTGATGAATTTAAAATTTGTAAATCGTAGTCAATTGTGCATAATTGTTTTTGTTTTTGAAGGGGAGATATGATGACACTTTTAATATCTCGCAGCTTACCATATCGTATGGACAAACTTGTCACTGGTTGTTGAAGGTAGTTCTTAATGTTATAGTAGCTTGGTGGTGAAATGAGTGTCGGGGTTAGAGATTACACCCTTATATAGAGCCTTTGCGCAGCATCCACGTCTGTATCTTTTACCCGCTTACCAACGCATAGATGCTCTTACCTGAGTTATGATTGGCCAAGCGTAAAACACGATACCTCAACATTATTTTGATTCAATTACACCTCTGCTTGCCATCATCTTAATCTTCATTATTTTTCAAACACTAAAATAAATTTATTGTATAATTAAATATTTAAATCAAAATAGAAAAATTCCTTTAGGAAATGTATCCTGCCTTTAAACTAAAAATCATTGATAACTTTTATTATTCTATTACGAATTTTCTTTTGATTATCCTACAAAATATAAGTTGAAGATTTATTAATATATTTTTTAAATTAACAGTTATTCTTTAAGTCATAATAACTAATATGAAAATTTTTTGAATACATATAATCAACCATTTTCTTTTAAATTCAATTAAAAAGAAAGGTTCTTTTATTCCCTTTAAGATGGTTATACGCCTTTAAATTAAAATTAGAATTTTTTAAATTTTATTGTTTTGAAAAAGATAAATTTCCGATTCATAAAAATGTTTGGGAAAAAGCATACCCTCTTTCTATTACATATATTTTAGAAAAAGTTTTAATCATGTTTTTAATATTAACATGTAATATATTTCATTTTATATTAAATGTATCTTTGATATTTAATTGGTTGTAGTCTTGGGAGGACCAGGAAGTAGAGATTGCAGAAATACCATTGGTGGTGAGTAATAAAAAGTTTGTTCAAACTGGACGTAACATTTTCATGAAAAGAATTATACTTTATTTTCATGTTTTATCTTAAGTTACCACCTCAATATTTTGGGAAGCATATCCTCTGCAAGAGACTGATTATTAAATTGTTTTAAGTAAAATAATAATTTAAGGAGTTAGGACACAGTAGGAGGCTAGAATTAAATATTTTTGCGATTTATTTCGGTGAAAAAAATTAAAGACTTTTTTGATGAATGAATTATTTTTAAATTAAATTAAAAATGAATATAATTATTCAAGGATGTTTTTAGGCATGTTTTAAAGTGATATAAATAAAAATTGTTTGAGTTATGCTTCGTGGAAATTTCAACCAATCGAAAAAATTTTTGATATGTATATTATTACCAAAGTAATAATTTGTCTTTATCTGTACTACAAAAACGATTAAAGGAAACATATTTAGCTTTTTCTATTCACTATCAGCATATGGAATGCAGAGATATTTTAAAAATATATATAATATGAGATTCAATATTATAAAATTTTAAACATTGCAAAATATTTGAAAAAGTTTAATCTAGTTTTTAGCGCATTTACATAAAGCGCCACATATATACTAAAGAATAAAGTGTGTTCAATAGAACCTGTTTGTTAAGTCTAAAAATTCGTTTCACATCAATACGGTAAGCATATTAACTATTTTAGAGTTAAATATAATAACTATTACTTCCTTATGTATCCAATTTATCCCCCATTTAGAATTTTGAATAACTGACATTGGATTCGTAATCAGCAACTAAAAAAACCACTGCATTCTTTTTTTTGCTCTTAGTTTTGTTGGGGTGTGAAAGGCTTAACCCCTTAAGTGTCATGCTAAAATACAAGAAATTGACCACGTGTGTCAGAAAAATTTAACATTTTAAAAATCCTCTTAGATTTCTATCAGTATTAATTATATTTAAATAAAAGTTATATATTAATTTTAATTATATCTCGCGTAGAAAATTTGAGTTAGAGTCCCAAAAGTTATAAATGCATAAATTTTCCTGTACAGTTACTGATATTAAAATGGTCGTAGAAACAACGTACAATTATGTTCAAAATTGGTAGGGAGACAGTTTTCCCAACGACTTTTCCCCAATGGACATTTTTTTCCAAAAAAATTTTATCCCAATGGACATTTTTCCTAATGAAAATATTTTTAAAATTTTTTATTTCAATGAACATGCGGAGTTACTTCCAGCACAAATTATACGTAAAGAGCTACAAAATGTCCCATCAGGTACACGGAAAAAATTTTGGGACGTCAGATGCGAAAAGTCAGTGACAGCAGAAGAGCATTTCATTATGTACGTCTGCGGTGCATTTTCGAGAGAGCAGACGTAAAGTTTGGCACAAACGCTGTACATAGTGTACGCCTGTTGCGCAAAACTAGCACAGATGGCGTTCAAAATGAATGTACAAGTAATTTTGACACACCATGTACAGCTGACGTGCCTAAATTTTTTCCGTGTAGATATTAGCAGTAATACTTGAATATAAAAATCGAAACTAAAATTTACCATTTAATTGAAATTCAATTTACGTGTTTAGTTCACTTTCAATTTAATTTATTTCAATTTCCATTAATGAAAAATAAATTTATTCAATAATTCACTGAAACTATATTTCATATGAAAATCCTGGCACAGATGATGCAACGAATATCCACAGCGCGATAACATTTTTACTTACTTTGGTAGCAAAATTGCTATTTGGGAAAAATGCACATTAAGAAAATCGACCCGTTCTTGGGGAATATGTTCATTGGGAAAATTGTCTACT